ATTTATATACATGGACCAAACAAGTTCCATAGTACAGGAGACGTGGCCCTGTGGCGTTAGTGAAATCCTATACAGTTATCTGTTTGTGAATGAGAATTATAGATTTTAAGCTGTACTTATATCACTTGCATCAATGCAGATTAAAATCTTGCAGATTTTACATTCCTTGTGTGATTTTAAATCATAAACATGGGGTGGTTTGACTGCAGTTTAAAGTGCAGCCAATGATCTCAACATTCCAGCAGTGTTTAACAAGTACCGGTAATAAATATACAGCAAATGTTTCATAATTCTCTTATGTTTATAGCCATTGCATCCTAAAGGGAAATTACATTTTGGGAGAGTTCACCCTATTTGTATGCAACAAAAGCAAGGCCCTCATGTTTTTAACTTTTTTAGACAGTTTTTCCCTAAATTTATCTTAATTCCCATCTATCACACAGTCCCCGTATGCTAAAAGCTGTTAAATTGATTTTTCAAGAAATGTTGACCAAAACAATAGGAAGTCATCTAGTAAATGCAATATAAATTTGCTGAATCATGTTAATACCAGTGTTATCAGTTTTCACTTTTGTTACACTGTATAGTACGTATTAGTCTTTCTTTTTATGTGTGGCTGTTAGACGGGTTCGATTACTGGTGACCAGATAGCTCAGTTGGTAGAGCACCTGACTGTAGATTCAGGGAGCCTTGGTTTGAATCCTGGTCTGGTCTATCACATTTTTCTCCTCTCTCATTACATATGAATGGGGGTATATTGTTTTTGTCCTGTCTAAAAGTCTGTCAATTTGTCGAACATTAACCTTCCTGATAGCAGTTTAACCAAAGAATATTTGACAAAATTATAGAAATATATGAGACCTTAAATTGTTATCACTTCGTCCATTAGTCTGCCCAGCTCCATATCTGAGTCGTAACTTTGTAATGGAGAAACAATGGAAGTTCATACTTAAGAAATAGATTGCATAGAACGGAGAGTAACCTAACATCATTTTGGAAAGGTGAAGATCATTGGCAAAAAAGTGTAAAATTTTTGTCTGGTCTATAGCTTTTAAATGAGTTTGTACTTCACACGAATGTTACTCTGAGAGTGTGTCTGGACCTTGATCCAAGGTCATTTGTTCAAGGTCATGGTTACTCTCAGAATATTGTATATAATTCCTATCTGGTCCATTCTCTCTTAAACATTGGGATCTTGATACTTCACACACATATGACCAGAGGTATGTCATGTCCTGGAGCCAAGTTTATTTTTGCAAGTTTAAGATCACTTTTTATAAATTTTACTTTAGCCATATCTTGTAACAGAAATATTGGAAGCTTATTTTTGACATGTATATTAATTTTTTTTTATGAGCTGACCCAAGATCAGTATAGTGCAAGTTTAAGGTCCCTGATAATAAATGTGAAATCTACACAACTCGTTTCTCTGATTAAAGATTCATTAATTCAGCAACACCATTATGATATACAATTGTTTGAAAATGAGGTCTGAGAGATTTTGCCTATTTCAACATGATGAAAGCTTTCAAAAAACATTAAGATTCTCAAATTTCCTGAATTTTCTCTGAAGGGATATTTATCATTGTGTACCATGTACATAATAATTAGGCATGCTAAAGGGAAGGAGATGGGGTTAGGCTGGGTTATTATAAAAAAAACTGAGTTGGTAATCCATGTCTATTAGATGAGTCAAATAACCAATGGTAGAACTGTGAAATTTGATGCACGCTCTCATATTTTATGAGGATTAAAATCACATTGAGTGTAAAGAGCTGGAATAGAGAAGGCAGTTTGTCACCATTTTAATGTTATCTTCACTCATTTTCATTTGAGGTATGTCATTGAAATTCTGGCCCTGTAAATTTTACATTACTGGATACATGCTTGATAAGAATTGCTGGTGTATTGCTCTCATTATGGGTTATAAAAGTGCTAAAGCCCTCCAGAATGCTTTTAACTCAAATGGCTTATCAACAGTGACCAAATCCTTGCAATGACCATTTCAGTATTATCTAAAGGACCTCACAGGCTGATAGTAATAATTTTGGTTAAGATTAAATATCTGATCTCATACTAAGTGGCATGACACAAATCATTAATGGATTCCTACAGCAGTTTAATTGTGACATGCCTTTTGTTAATTCAGGTTCAGAAAAATACTTTCAAGTGATCATAAATTAGCATGTATGAGGGGAATTCAATCAAGTCAAAATATCTTTTAATATATATTTTTGTACAAGGTAACATGTCAAAGTTCCATTAAATACATGGGAGAGATTTAGGCTTCTAAACACTAGACATGGATTTTGCAGCACAACCTGGATATTAATTGGGCCAGTAATAACCCCCCCCCCCCCCAACCCCCCCCAACCGCATATGTTGGCTGGTCAGAATCTTGGTGATTGGTAGTAGTAAACTATAAAATCTCTAGCTGTTGCAATTCAGAGGTTAAACTGTTCAAATTCATGTAGTATTATCTTGAGCATAGCTAGATTCATGAATGGAAATGAAATGTCTAAGTAAATACTGTGAAATTACTTATTTTCATGGGGATTTAATTTTCATTGTTGGTATGGAGAGACCCAAAAATTCATGTCCTCCATGAAATATGAACATTTCAAATTATAATATTTTTCATCTTCAACCCCAAAATCAAATTCCTATAACCAGTATTTTGCGCTCAAGCCACAGAAATTTGACCCTACAAAAATAAGTGATTTCACACTAGTCTCCAACCTCATGTATGTCTTACAGTGATACAGTGATGCAAAGTTATGGACTGAAAAAGCATTTTTCAAATCAGTTTGTTTGATTTTTTTTTTTTATTTTATAAAAATCATTAAAAATGGTTTGAATTATGAAGATCTTCATTCTTGAGCTTAAATAATACTTTAATATACATGATATGGTAAAATTTATAATTCTCCATTCTTTACATTATTGCAGTTTTTGCAAATTCTGCTCAAGGAAGTGATTTTTGTTTAGCTAATGGATTAATATAACTATTCCTCTTAGTATTTTTTTTATCTGTATAGAGAGCAGTTTGATTCAGCATTTTTTTCCTTTCTTCTTATGATAGCTAATTGATTCTAGTGCATTGTTTTGCAAGTAACAAATAAGGTTAAAGGGAGGGAACTTCCTTATACTGGTATAGAACTTCCTTATAGGAAAATAAGGAAACACAGCTTTATTAAGGAATAGAATATTGCTACATGTAAGATTACCTCCACAAAAAAGCTTTTCATCTTTGTAAGGTTTGGCTACAAATTGCCCCCATTTTAAACATGGAATTTTTTTTTTTATAATTTCACTAAGTTTGTTTTGGTGGCCTTTATGTAAATAAGCTAGCGGTATTTACACAGAAATATTTACATTTTAGATAAATCTTGAGGATATATGATGTTTCTAGCTTTTAAGGTATAATGTTTTAATTAATTTCTCTGTTGCTGTGAAGATCTGTGGAAGCGCAAGATGAACTTGGCATGTAACCTAATCTATCACAAAAACTGGTGATTATTTAAGGAGCACTGTGAACTTTAATTTGAAATAAAATTCTGTCAGATTGTAAATGAGGCTTGACCTGCCAGGGATTATTTTAGATACCAGTCTCTCAGTATTGTCCAAGGATCTGACTGGCTTTCTCTGAAAAGGGAGCTTACTCCTACGCGTTTACCACAATATGCAAGGTCAAAGGATAAACGATCACCAAATTTAGGAGGGTTAAATTTTACACTTCAAATGAACATTTGATAGGGTTGAAAGTGATAGCTATAAATTGATGTGTTGATGGTTGGTATAGGTGGCTAAGTGGTGTTTCTGATTCAGTCTATTAGACTGTGTTATAAGACAGGTATTAGAAGGCAGGAAAGTTATGGCATTATAAAACATCAAACTTTTTACATATGTCAGGTATAAAAAGAATCAGAATTGCCAAGGGCTGAATGAAAGAGTGACTCATCTTTTATTGTCATTAACAGAATTTTTTAAGCGTTAAAAAATCTCAGATACAAATTATAAGAACTTTCACTTGATATAAACAAAGTCAAATCTTCACAAGCAAAGACTTGTAAGTGTATATACTTAATAATGAATTCCACATTAATTGAATTGAAGACCCCATCAGACAAATTATCCTTTTGGCTGAGCTCTCTCATTCAAATACAAATCACCTGCATTATTCATAAGTTGGGCTTGAAATGCTCTTGATGGGACCTGGTTTGGAGAGTGGACCAAATTAGTGTCAGGTCAGCAAGCATAGGTCACGTATCCCAAACCTAAGACCAGAGAGGGAGGGATTCATCAACATGACTCCTGTTAATGGCCGAGACAAATCCTACCCTAGCTAGCTACAGTGAATGATGGGTACAATACAGCATTGAGTGTCATGCAGCAAGTTTTGTGTTACACAGCTTGGGAGTGAGTCGCCAGGAGTTGACACTGAATGATACGTGTTGTTTTCGGAGTTCTCCATCAGTGATCTGGGATCTCATTAGACTTTTTGTATCTATCTAGATATATGACTTGAGTGACGGATTGACTGCACACTTAATTAGATCACAGTCTTTCGACTTATTATCAGAGATTGTTCAATGTAAAATCACACTGGCTTGGAGCTGTGAATGGCCGTCTTACAAAAAGTTTAAATGCCAGGGTTAAGTGTATCAGATTAAGTATACACAGTAAAAGTTGTCATCTGTTTGCAGAGTGTGGGGACTGATGATAAATGTTGGCTTGATTTCCGGACCTAGACCGAATACTGAGATAGACTAACTTCCAAGGCGTGTATAAGGACGCTACCATTTATATCATCAGCTCGGAAGTGTTAATGGGTCATCAAGGTTTATGACGGATATATTCTGTACCTGTATAGGTCTGGACTTTGGGTCACCATCTAATCTTATGTTTTTGTGACTGGCTTGTCATGTTGATTTTATCACAGCACCTGTGCACACCTGAATGGTTATATTAGTTTTACGGAACATGGTGGTCTAATTTGAATTAACGACATACACATCTACTTTATGTCACACTTGAACTCTACACATTACACTCGTGTTTCCTCTGTAAACAAGTCATTATGATTCCAAGGAGAAAGCCAGGGACTTATACTTCAGTTTCTACTGTCAAAGCCTCAGTTTCTGAGGGTCATTCAGGGGACACCAGTAATCCAAGACCCACCTCAACCTCCGGGGGACAAGCAGGAAGTACAAGTCACCCAAGACCCCACACTGGGGGACAAGCAGGAGGTACCAGTCATCCAAGACTCCATTTAAACAGTGGAGGCCACACAGTAGGGACCACTCACCCAAAGTCTCCCACAAGTCCTACTAGCAAGTCATCAAATGGTACAGAAGTGACTACAGGAAAATCATCTGAAAATGGGAAAACAAGGCAACCTGTGAAGAAATCAGACTCATTTATTAATTCAAGAAATGTGTTCCAGAGCATGTCAAATGGCAAGCAAACAAGACCAGTACAAAAGTCTGAGTCTTTTTCAGAGTCAAGAAGAAAAAGTTCATCTTCTTCCTCAGCCAAAGTGGATCCAGCTGGACAAAGAAGGTCCAGCTCCACCAAAACTGATACAGTGCCCATCTCTGCCAGAGTAGAAAACCATGGATCAAAGAGACAAAACTCCACCTCCAGTTCTAGATCAGGCAGTGTGTCAGATTCCAGATCCTCAAGTTTGACAGACTCCTCTTGTGGACCCAAACAATCCACTGAGCCATCTGATCTGGTACCAGGACCAAGAGACCCCTGTGTTACAGAAACCTCAACAAGGAGTGGACTGATACAGCACCACCCACATTCTTCTGTGACTGGCTCCACACAGCACCACCCTCACACTCCTATAACTACACAGCAGCAGCACCCACACTCTTCTGTGATTGGTCCCACACAGCACCACCCTCATTCATCTGGGACTGGCTCTTCACAGCACCACCCACACTCTTCTGTGACTGGCCCCACACAACACCACCCTCATTCGTCCGTGACTGGCTCCTCACAGCACCACCCACACTCTTCTGTGACTGGCCCCACTGGGACACACTCTGTCCATTCTAATACAGTAAATGGGTCTGTGTCTACTGCTGTTCCTGAGGACAAAGTCAAAGGGGGCTCACCTAGCAAGGTTAGTTACATACAGTACAGAGAGGTTTATCAGAAATCTATTGCAGTTCTGTATCCTTTTTTTCTGTTTTAGCTAAGAGTATATCATTAATCTTGTGAGGCAGGTTCCTTTGAGTTTAGTTTAATTAGGACTACTGTTGAGGACAAGTGAAGTAGGTTTCAGGAAGGAGACAGAACTGTAACAGTCAATGCTTTTCCTCAGACTTGTCCAGGCTTGTTAAGATGCATTTTATCTTGGCAATCAATCATGAGTTATTTTAGAAATTGTATTAACTCCATTATTCTGCGAAGGTTATTTGGTTCTTATCCAAAACCTAAATATGTCATCTGGTCAACCAATTCTTGTGTGTGCAGGTTTCTTGTTACATGTGCTTGAGTTTTTGGGTGTGTAGGTTTGAGATTTGTATTCACTGGAGTCATCTTGGGGTTATGCTTTGATCTCCTGCGTCATTTTTGCTGATTAGAGTATAATATTTCACCACTTGACTGAAAAGGATTCTGTTTATGTACATAAATCACAAACATGTACTCTGAAACATAAAACTAGTGCATTAAAAGAGGTGACAATAGTTTGTTCTCATGATAATCTCTGAAACCTTTACAAGCATCAGTGACTCAAATTATGTTTCATCCATAAATCTAAGATTTCCAAGAAACATGATCCAAACACTACTTGATTTTTTAATTCATTTTTTTTCAATTCATAGATTATTTAGCATTGCTACTTTTTTAAGTGTCAGTTCTGAATCTTTCTTTAACTGCTTATTTAATAGAAATTCAAAGATTGAAATTGAAGATAAGCTTTATTCTGAACAGTTGCTTTTTAGATGCTATGCAAGTGTTGCCAGAATGTTGTTTTTCTTGCTCAAGCTGACACAGATAAATCTTAGATTGTAAAAGTCCTATGATGTATGAGGTAGACATTTATTCCCTTTCCATCTTGCTTATCTCACAAAATTATCAGGAAAATTCCTTACATTAAACTTACAGGACTTAAAAAGGGTTAATGGAATTTATTGTAGTGTTTTGTTTTTGTATGGATCCAAAATAAAATGAAGACAGTGACAATACATTGGTTTCTTTCGTGAAAAAAATAGATTTGTCAGTTTTAAAGAAGATTGAATTTTAATGAAATGATTTGAAAGGTAGCCAACAAATGTTATATTTTTAATTTTTTTTTTTTTTGACAAGATGTTGACCCACAACTTGCAATTAGTTTATCTCTGTGTAAAATCGATAGCAGATGTGTTCACTAACGGTGAGTTCTACTCAGACAACAGATCATACAGATTATCACTGGTGATTAAGGGAGCCTCCTCCCATCTGTCTATCAGTAAATAAAACACACATATCTCTGTGTATTTCTTTTTACCAATATTAAGTCGGTCTACAGTGGAACATTTCAAAAGTCATAATTCCTTTAGCAGCCTGTCTTTGAAGTGCCAGGCTGCTGTGAAGGAGGTTGCTTGATTCCTTTTGACCTGCCCCCTCATTGTGGGAATAAGCAGTCGGGGAGGCAGCCTCTTCATGTTTAGAACAGACTGGGATGTATGATTGTTATTAGAGAAATTATTTGGTGAAGAGCATTCATTATGTTTCCAACAGGTGTCTTTGAGGAAATGGTAAGTTCCTGTAATTTTGTGTCATATTTCTGGGAGATTTAGGGATCTGCAAAGAAGAAAATCTGATATTGGTTGAGATTTACATGTCAGTGAAGTTCCGTTATCCTCTGGATAAATAATCAATAAGGAAGAGGGGCACCATTGATGGATGTGTTGTCCCTGTCTCCAAAGCATTCAAGTGATTTTGATCAGTGTGGCCATCATGTATTGTCTTCAAGGGTCAGAGAGGTCTTTGTATTACATTCAGAATGGAAATTGTTTCCTGCATTTAATGACCGACATTGAATGTTATCAAGTCAGTCCCCCCATTTAGATGTTGATTTTGCTGTGATTTTATAAAAGGTAAAATGTCCAGGATGCATATCAAATCTGTATTATAAATCAGACTTCAGATACAGCCATGAGCATGGTGATACAGGTCATTTGTTTAATGGACATGGATGGAACAATAGTTCAGAGATATTTTAAGCATTTTCTTTTTGTCCAATGCTTGTCGGGATCAAGACTTGACCTTGATAAGAACAAGACAATGAAATGGGTGTCTATTTTATGTGCATGATAAACTTACAGATTGTTTCTTGTATATTAACTCATAAGTTTTTGCTTTATTAAGTTTTAGCTTCAGGAAATGGTTACACTCAGATAACCTGCAAGCAAAGAATTTTAATAGCTAGGCTGAACTAAGCAGAACCTGGGTAAATAGCAATTGTAGTACAGTGATTGTTTGTGTATTGTGAGATCCCCTACAGATGTAGGCATGCAGATTCTATGGAGTAAATTTCTGACACATATCTTACCCAGCTGTTCATTACATTAGATATACTGCAGTCAGTTCACCTGATTACACCTGGTCCTCTCAGGTGATACAGCAACTGGTATCGTACTGTGTGTCATAAAGAGGGAGGGCATCATCCTAGGTCCCGATCTGTCTGTAATAGTGAATTCAGATACATACAGCCTTTATTCATATTCACAGCTGGGTAAGGATCTCAGTTCCTGACATAGGCATGTTATGATACAGAGCCACTGTTTTGGGGGGCTGATATATGATCTGATAAAGATTTATAAGATATAGAATTCCACTTTTCTATCAGTTCAGTTGTGCCCTCTTTTAATTTTTAAAATACATGATGGTATTTCACTTAGCACAGAAAATAATTCTCAGGTTTCAAATCTGTGAAATTTGACATTTTACAATTAAAACTTTAATTGGTTAATCAAGTTGTTATTAAAAAGACTTTAAAATAAGATGCTCTCTGGACTGTGTGAACTTAGTGATGTTAATAGCAGATCTCTGTAAAGATCACAAAAAATCAACTATACACTTTATAACATAGAAGATTTGTACACTGGAAAGATTAAATTTAATCATATTTTAATTGGATTTTAAAAATGCCTTTGACTAAGCTAAAACTTTAATCCAGTATTATTTAGAGTTATAAAAGTAAAAACAGTGGTTGAGTGGGGATATCAGGTGAATTCAGATGAGAAAATTAAAATTCTGAATTGCTTCCTTATATGTTTTGTATTGAAAAAGGTGCCACAAAACTTTTTTTCTAAGTTTCAGAAGTGGATTATTCAGAAACTAGCATTTTCTGAAGAATTTTGGCAGTTGGATTTTGAGTCACTTAAATATTTAGATAAAACTTCCTTGAGATTTAATTAAATATTCATTATCAATTATATTGTCATATTAGAATGCCTCAAATTTATGATAATGTGTGTAAATGTTATTCCCACCATCATCATGTGTATTGTTTGTTCAAAGGCATCAAATTGACATATGTCACTATAAAAGAAGACCCTTGCATATTTTGACTTTTATTAGTACTTCAAAAACAGATTGGCTCTTTCAAAAGTGAACTAATCCAGAAAGTTTCAGACATTTGATAAAAAAATTAACAGTTGAAATTAGGGATGTCTATTGAACAAAATATTTTGGTACAATAAATATATATCACTATAAATTTATGTTATTTGGCATGCACAGTATTTGTTGGAACTTGATTTTTCAACAAGTTAGCATAGATTTGATTTAGTGCTTTTTGAATGTGCTATATATGCATATATATACACAAGACATTTAGAGATCTATGTACTTGATTTAGTGGAAGCTGCATTCTGTGAAAGGAGCTAAATAGAATACACACCCAAATGTAATACATTTACAGTTTGTATTAACTTAGAATCTTAGGTATACAGCTATATGCCAAGAATATCAGTAATTCATTGTAGCACCTGTGTTCACTGTTTAACTTAATGTTTGTGATTCCTGTGTGAAACTTGTATACCAGGATATTCATCATAAGCTGAGTCCAGTTTTTATAGACTTCTATATCCACAGCTCAAATAGTAGCTTAACAATAGTCATTCCTGTGCCTAACACATGTAATAAGTCAATTGTAAGCCAAGTATTCAACTCGTAGCAAGTTGATGGTTGTAAGATCATACCCAATACTGTATAGGGGGAAAATAACTCGCGGTGTTAATATTCGCTATATTCACGATATTAATAAATCTGTGAATTCAAGAAACAGTGAATAATTAAGTTTTCAATGACCTCCATGTTTTTTTTTTTAAATCTGAGAATACACTACGATAGGTATATATATGTACATGCAGCACATGATCATTCAGTAATTACAAATAGTAATTGTCAATTAATTATTTCAATTATCACGCTTTACTTTAATTCAAATCAGCAAATAATAACCTGTAATCATTGTAAAAAAAAAAAGCTGTTTTACTAGCCAACGCTAAATGTTTCATCAATCAGAACACATGGGTCATGGGTTTTGATAACCCGTGCGTAACTAACGTTACTAAGTGTATTTATTACGTGCATTATCATGCATATTTTGGCTTTAAAAATATTATTCAAATAACTATCGAAGGTATCGAAGGATATTATTTCATCGACCTACTTTAACACATTTATTATCGTCCAGTGGTTTTCCGCTGCGATGTGATATCCCTTCGGAAATAAGATCTTGGGATGTACATGCAGTCAGCGTAATAGCATATAGGAAAGTCATTAAATATATCGGCACTTTGTTTAATCTTCAATTAATTACTAATTAAAATCTAAACATTTTAGATAAATCTGACCTTACTGAGTATATACCAATATCGCGAATTCAACAAACCACGATCGTGTCAGAGGAGAGGAAAACGCGAAAATTACAACCTGTGAAATTAATCCCCTATACAGTACATGTAGCAAGTCGGAGATTGGAAGCCCTTATCCATGCAAGTCAATAGTTGTGTCATACCCAACATGTGTAGCAAGTTTATGATTATTAGCTCATATCCAACTCGTGTAGCAAGTCAATGGTTACAAGCCATACCTAACTCATATTGCAAGTTGGTGATTGTATGCTATATTAATCTTGTATATATATAGCAAGTCAATAATTGTATTACCATGTATCCAACTTGCATGGTAAGTCAATAGCGAATCATTGATTGTAACCTAAGGGTGCAACGGTAAACCGTTTGACGGTATATCACGGTATATTTTTCCACGGTTCAATTCACGATACGCTAAACTGATATCGCGGTTCTGTTCAATCGGTCCAGAATTATCCGTTTTGTCCGTTTTATATCCTTCTTTACTATTTCAAAATGGCTTCCGCGCAAAACGTGAGGTCGCTGATAACGCATTTACGGCAGTTAAAGTCATCTCCAGCATCTTACAGACCTCAGATTTGACACGGAGAAGGACTTAATGTGATTATAAGTTATAGATGTTAAGACAAATGATAAACCCTTTAGACCTAAACGTATTCTTTGTAATACACGATTTTCCATCACGTGTGTATTACAATGAAAATTCACTGTCTTGTTGACTAAACCGTATTAAAACGTGAAATATGACAACTGGTTTTTATTATGTAAATAAAAGGAATAAAAGAATGAATGTCTTCCTTTTTCATTCCAATTTAAAAGGGACATTATGAGGAAAGGTCCCCGTAGTTCCCTGTAAATGTTCATCCTTTGTTTAGAATGTTGTCACAACTCGAAAGATCTACCTAACAATCCAATTCAAGTTTTAATTATTATTAAAAAAATATGAACATTTTGTATAACCCTCTCAAGTTAAAAAAAATATGATGACAAATATGATGACAAACTTGAAAGACTTTTTTAACCTTGTCATGTATCGTGATACGTATCGTATCGTGAACTGAATACCGTGATACGTATCGTATCGTGAGGTTAGTGTATCGTTGCACACCTATAATGTAACCCATATGTCCAACTTGTATAGCAAGTCATTGATTGCATAGACCCTGTGTCATTTAGCAAGTCCCTCTACTTTAAATCATGATAACATATAACTCAGACTCTTGTCACCCTATCTGACACATGGACTGACTATACATGTTATCATGAAGATATCATTTGATGTTTCTGATTTTTCTGTTACAGTTTACAGCACCAGAGCAATCAGGATATGTGGGTTTTGCCAATCTCCCTAACCAGGTCCACAGAAAGTCAGTCAAAAAGGGTTTCGAGTTCACACTTATGGTGGTGGGTGAGTATACCGCTTGTCCTCTATAGTAAGATTTGGTTGGTCTTTTGCCATCATGAAATAATGTGTCATGTTGATCCTATTAATGTTCAAATATCTGGAGAAATATGTGTTACCTAGTCTTCTATAAAAGTGATTCACTATATAGTATAAACTGATCTCTGTAAATAGTCTTAGCTATGAGGAGTTTGCCAAAACAAAGTTAGAACAAGAAGGAATCTGTTTTTATTGAAGATAGATTAAGGGTGTGTCCCAAAGGTCAAGAGTGTTTTAATAATCTCACCACAAACTCGTGTAAATTGAAATCACAAAGATCAAAGTGGAGCATTATATTGAAGGAAGTGAATCACTTATATATAATACATGTATAGGGTGGCTGTTATGAACGTGACAGGAAACTATTCCCCGTGGGCTTGCCCGAGGGGAATAGTTCCTTTCAAGGGTTTGATGAAAGAGCTATCCCACTCACAGCCAGTGGATAAGCGTTTTATTATACTGATGTATATCATAATTTCTGAGGGTTGGATTTACCTGATACTACAGTTCCATAGGGAAAAAAAACATGAAAAAAAAATTATAAAAGTTTTGAACAAGTATCTGGAATAAGGTAACACTGCTAGAATGAGCTGATGACGTCGCAATGCTACTGAAGTCAGGATGACATCACAAGTCTATAGACTGATTAAAGGAAATCAAAATTGGCGGCAAAAATTACATGAAAATTTTCCAAGGGGTGGGTAGCAAAAACAATACCCTGGGGTATAGCTTTGCTATCTGTGGAAATTTTCAGACTATAAAAGATAGTTATTTTACCTTCTTAACTTTATATAGGAAACATTTTAACAGAAGTGTAATAAAGTAATATAGCTCACTGCGAGAACAAGTTTCATATGACTCTTATCATTAGCAAATGTAATTTAAAAGTTGACACTTTTAAAAGGTTTTACTATTCAAGAAATCTTGTGAAGATAACAGAAACTTGACATATTTAAGATAATGTACAAGCAACATTGCTAATTTTGACAGTAAGCCAGCCCTATGTCATTTCTTATAAACATTGATAATGTGTTGTAGGTGAATCTGGACTGGGGAAGTCTACTTTGGTCAACAGCCTGTTCCTGACAGACCTTTATCCAGAGAGACACATACACTCAGCTGCTGGTATGTACCCAAGACAGACACATACACTCAGGTACTGGTATGTACCCAAGACAGACACATACACTCAGCTGCTGGTATGTACTCAAGACAGACACATACACTTAGGTACTGATATGTAAACAAGACAGACACATACACTCAGCTGCTGGTATGTAAACAAGAGAGACACATACACTCAGCTGTTGGTATGTAAACAAGACAGACACATACACTCAGCTGCTGGTATGTAAACAAGACAGACACAGACATTCAGCTGCTGGTATGTAAACAAGACAGACACATACACTCAGCTGCTGGTATGTACCCAAGACAGACACATACACTCAGGTACTGGTATGTAAACAAGACAGACACATACACTCAGCTGCTGGTATGTAAACAAGACAGACACATACACTCAGCTGCTGGTATGTAAACAAGACAGACACATACACTCAGCTGCTGGTATGTACCCAAATCAGACACATACACGCAACTGCTAGTATGTACTCCAAGACAGACACATACATTCAGGTACTGGTATATACCCAAACAGACACATACACTCAGGTACTGCTATATACCCAAACAGAGACATACACCCAGGTACTGGTTTGTACCAAGACAGACACATACACTCAGGTACTGGTATGTACCCAAACAGACACATACATTTAGCTGTTGTTGATACCCAGAGAGATGCATTCACTCTACTTCTGGTACATATCACCGAGAAACACATACACTCAGCTTCTGGCATGTAGATATATATCACATTTATACCCAGACAAACACATACATTCAGCTGCTTGTATGTACCCATACAGACACATACATTCAGCTGTTGTTATGTACAAATACAGACACATACACTCAGCTGTTGTTATGTACCCATACAGACACATACACTAAGCTGTATATAAATATATCACTTTCTACTCAGGGTAAATGTCATTTTATCAGTACAGATTAAGAGAGAAAGAGCTTTGTATTGTTTGAAGATCATGTAATGATTGTATACTAGATGTCAGATGAGGTAGTCATCAAGGCAATTTCAGTAAACATCACACATTCTTTCTGCCTTTAAAATGGTCCAATTTCTCTAAAACTCCAAAATCAGATTCATTAACTGAAGTATTCTTTAAAGGACATTTGATAATGTACAAACTTTCTACCATGTCTACATTTTTATATTTTGACTAATCTTGATGATATTTTTTATTTACAGAGAAGATTTCGCAGACAGTGAAGATTGATGCCTCCACTGTAGAGATAGAGGAGCGTGGAGTAAAACTAAGGCTGACTGTGGTGGATACACCTGGCTTTGGGGATTCCCTTAACTCCCAGGACTGGTAACTAACTAGTGGATTTACATATACAGTCAAACCTCAATATCTGGAACTCGATAGGACCAAGAAAAAACTTTGAGATATCAGAGGGTTCGAGATATCAATGGTAAAATACTTAAGAAATACGTGGTTAGGACTTCCCAATCACTTCAACATATCCATGGTATTCAAGACATCCGTGTTCAAGATACCAAAGTTCTACTGTAGCTTATAGTGGGACAAACTTTTGTCCAACCAGAAGACTCAATTTAAGTAATAGATTTAAACTTTGTACAGAAGAGACGACCACCTCTGTACCCTAAGTAATTGAATGTTACAATGAGTTTTGTTCTAGTTGTACTTAATTGTGACCAACTTCATTGAAGGATTATTGTGATGACCACATATGCAAGTTTCATTAACATATATTTACATTTGCAAATGCCTTTCTTCATATAACACTATTGAAAGCAATGTGTATCTATATCCGTGGGTTATAAACACGGGTTTCTCACGTAAATAAACATTCGACGTAATTTCTCAGTGACGTTTTAAAGGGTCGACGCACAATCAATGGATTAAACACGTGCCGTTGAGTTTGAAAAATAAAACACTTCACACGTTAAAAATTATAATCGAGCAAATATAAATAAGTCACAAATGTAAATATATTTAAGTAATAAGGTATCAGTTTTAAACATCTATCAGGATATAAATACGGGTTGGTACGAGATCAAATTTACCATAAAGCCCTTCGGGCTTTATGAAATTTGACCAACCCATATTTATATCCCGATAGATGTTTAAAAATTATATCTTATTTCTTAATTGTTCAGTAGGCATACAGATACAGTTTAACTTAGGTATGTCGAACACTGATATATAGAATACCATGGATTTGTCGAAGTGATTTGGAAGTCCCAACCCCCAACCCCTTATTCTTTAAGTATTTTACCCTTGATATCTCGAATCCTATATATCTAGAAGTTTTTCTCAATCCCATAGAGTTTGAAATAACAAGGTTTGACCGTATATGGAATTGCCAAAGATGTGAACATTTTTGAAAAGTCTGTCATTTTTCTATTATTTTTCTTTCTTCAACAGTGTATAATCTGTTTCCTTTTGTACTATGTTAAAGAGATAAAATGTTTTTATTTTTAGTTTTAAGCCCATCATCCAGTATATTGACAGCCAATTTGAGCGATACCTGGAGGACGAGAGTGGTTTAAACAGAAGACATATCGTGGATAATCGTGTTCATTGCTGTTTCTACTTCATCAACCCATCAGGCCACGGGTAAGCTCTCAGTATTCTCTCCTTATTATAACAACCCATCAGGCCACAGGTAAGCTCACAGGCCATCACTGAAAGTATTCTCTTGTTATAACAACTAAACAGGCCATGGGTAAGCTCTCAGGCCATCACTCAAAGTATTCTCTCCTTGTTATAACAACTGAACAGGCCATGGGTAAGCTCACAGGCCATCACTCAAAGTATTCTCTCCTTGTTATAACAACCCATCAGGCCATGGGTAAGCTCTCTGACCATCACTCAAAGTATTCTCTCCTTTGAACATTTTCCCTGCTATGGTGGAAAACCTTATTTGAGATTCTGAAAAAGAAAAAAAAAAGAAAGCAAACAAAATCAACAAACAATATGGCAGTTTTCTGTTTCGATTTTAGCTTTTAAGAAATTTTTTAGATGAAAGATTTTTATTCATCAGAATTTTTTTTCTGCACAAAACATGAAATACTTATGAATGTATTGTCAGCAGTATGCATGGATGATTTTCAGGTGTAAGTTATGTTGATGCGTGAAAATTCTTGATGTCTTTTTCAGCTTACGTCCCCTTGACATCTCATTTATGAAAGCAGTTCATCACAAAGTAAATATAGTCCCAGTCATTGCTAAGTCTGACACGTTGACGCAGCAGGAATGTAAACAACTGAAGAGAAAGGTCAGTTCTCTCTGTTTATGTTGATGTTCATCTGCATACATAGTCAGTAGGGATTTTGACAGAGATTCCTTATTCTTTTTGTCAGTAAATTGAATACTTTAACAGTGTTTCAGCAAAAATGTACACAGAAAGTCAGGAAGGTTGGTGTTCAACAGATATTTATAGCTTTTGTAATTAATTTAAACAAGTTGTGAATACATGTGCTTAGACTAATGCAAATGGAAAGCCTATTCACAGTACACATTTTTTTTTCTATTAAATGAATTACTCACACAGCCTAAGAAATTTAAATCTTCCTGCATCAGACTAGGCAGAGATGCTAGCAGGATGGATGGGGCATGTATTTGTATATATATGTTGGAAGGGAATTCACTGCTCTTTGGTGTAGACTTTGGTTCAGTCCTTGTTTTGCAGATAACGAATCATTAGTGGTGACTTTATAGTCCCTGAATACACCCTCCACATCATATACAGTCAAACCTGTGTTCAGTCATATCAAGGAAGTAGCTGAAAACAATGGGCCACTAATGTGGGTTTAACTGTACTTTGATGATGGAAAATTCTTGAGAAGGGTGGGGCTCTGAAAAATAATTATATGCAGATTTAAAACTGCAAAACTAAAATAATGGTCATGGTCTAAAAATGTCTTGAGAAATAATTTCAGATAGGAAGAGCTTTGGACAGTGCTTTTAATCAAAGTTTAAAGAAGTTCTAACATCTTTTATTATTACCTGACACATTTATTAACAACTGACTTTTTTCGTTAAATAACTATGGATTGTTGCCTTTGTATATAAAGAAGCTAGGTTCCATCACACATTAGGAGATATTTAACTTGGATACCTGCCCATGCAGGTGGAGTATATTGACTGAGAAAGTTGATCCAATTACATCTGTACTAGCCTCACTGTATTTATGTATAAATAAAACCCTGACAGTTGTCAGTCAGTAACAATGAACACCTCTCTGTAACTCTCTCATGTTTTGTTTCATTACTGGTTTCTGTAGCATTTTTGTCAAATCAGTAGAAAACAAGTGGTCTGGTGGCCAGTAATTACTACTATTATATGACTATAAAATGTTATCTTGTGGTAATGGGGTTAAATCTGAGTTCTCCAAAACTTTCCTGCAATATTTTAATGATAGGAGACATTTTACCCAATAGTAATGAAATCAGTAAAGACTAAGCATACTTATGGCTGATTCTGGTTTGTACAGGTGATGACACAGATTGCTGAAAATGGTATTAACCTTTACGCACTCCCAGACTGCGATGAAGACGAGGATGAAGAATATCGAGAACAGTGTCGACTTCTCAAGGTCAGTCAAGTCTGACAAGATCAATGGATGTTACTGCAGAGTGCTGATTAGGTTATTTAATTTTAAAATAACACCACTTATTTTGCTACAGGAGGCTGTGCCTTTTGCTGTCATTGGTGCTAATACTGTTATAGAGGTCAAAGGTAAAAAGGTCAGAGGTCGTATGTATCCATGGGGAGTGGTGGAGGTTGAAAATCCAGATCACTGTGATTTCATCAAACTCAGGACCATGCTTATGTAAGTATAAACCTATAACAAAGCATCACTTGTCAGACTGATTGTATATATGTGAAACAAATTAAAAACTTATCCAGTTCATGAGTCTCATTGAAAATCTGCGGCCTTCAAGTTAGCTTCTCAGAATTACCAGATAAATTTGTAGAAATAAAAATTGTCAGCTGCTGAAAAGTCTCTGTCTCTGATTTTTGGGTGGATAGGAATTTTATTCAGTGCAACAGCTAAAAGTTACAGTATTTAATTGGAATCCTTATCAATTTAATGCTGTCATTACTTAGATTTTGATAATTATAGTGTAGTCATTAGCTAGATTTATGTGATGTATTTACAGCACACACATGCAAGACTTACAAGAGGTCACACAGGAAGTTCATTATGAAAACTTCCGAGCTGAGAAATTAGCAGGTGGTGGATCTGTACCCAAGAAAACAAGGTATGTCATAGACATAATCTCTCCAGAATACTCAGTAGGAATTGCTAAATCATTTGTTTTTATATTGATAGCAATTTCAATGTGTGAAGATAACAAGTGCTTTGTTTTGCGAAGAATTCAGTTTCTGTGCTTTGTATTGTATTGCCATTTAATCAGACGGGAAATTTTGCCATTTTGTGTTCTAATAAATGACCCAGGGTTCAAAATTAGTTCATGTCTAGAAGTCCAAGACTAAAAATGCTAGAACAAGCTTTAAAAAGCACTAGTCCATATGAATATATGCTATATATGATATATCCACCATAAATCTTTCAATTATACAATACACTCTAAATATATCAACCATACATTGTGAATTGTTTAATCTTTAGAATTTTTTTGCAATTTTTTAAAAATTTTATTAAAAAGAAATGTGTGTTTATGTATTTCAAGGATCAACCTGAGGAAAACTGGGGCAGAATATAAAAAGTTTGCATACCTGAATTTCGAGGTGCTGGGGGGTTAGCTACATTTCATTCTTTTTCTTAAAATCAGCTTAAATTATTTAAAGGGTAAATTAATTAAATATTTTGTTTTAAATCCATTTTAACAGCAGCCTGAATCAACATGGAAACATATCTTCAAGTTATAAAAAATAGTATACATGACCTCAAGTTCAATTAATGTTCATGCTATTAAAGTACACTGATCATATTTAACAATTACACTTATCACAATAATTGTAAATTAGCAACCTGTAAATGTTGAACATAATTAGGTCAGGGGTAAGGCTAATACCCCTAAAGACATAAAAAATGTCAACCAACTTTTTTTTTCATTCTTCTTTATTCTCAATAATACAACCAAGAAAATTTAAAATGTAAAATAGAAATCGTTTTATATGCTCAAACTGGGTTTTCTTTAGGTAGATTTGAGTAAGAATTTTTAATTTTTATTCCCAATTTTTATTTTATCTCACATAAAAATAAGTATGAACTAGTGCTTACAAAGTTAATTTTGAACCCAAATGGCCCCAAACCAATTTGGCATTGATCAGGATAGACTTCAATTTTATTAACCATATATTATTTATGCATTCTTGAAAAAGTTTACATTATTTGGCTTATTTAGCTTTGTATATATTATGAATATTCTTACTTGGGGTTATCTGCTTCGTAAGAAGTCTATTTGATGTTACAAAATGTCAATCAAATTTACAGAAGACCTCGCAATGAAGAAACTTACAATGAAATGACAGAGTATGTCTTATTTTCATTCCAATTCCATAGTAAAGAATCATTTACTCCCTTCACCAATGTTAGCATGTAGGCACATGATTATAGTTATCTAACATGTTTACAGTTATCCAAAGTAAATGCAATGGTTCCCTACAACTTGTCATGACAGTAGACTAGATACCTGGTAGTTTGAATGATTAAATATTTTATGTATGAATGTTTGTGAAGTTTTATTAGGACAGAAATAATTGTCCCTCTGAATGCAGCAAGGTATTAAGACTTAATAATTCACTTTGTTCAAACCTAATAGTAACGTGTTGATAGAGTTGATATATATAATATATATATATATATATATATATATATATATATATATATATATATATATATATTATTATATATATATAATATATATATATATAATTCAGAGTTTATGCTCCAGAACCATTTTGTGTAGATTTAGGATGTAAGCCTGAAGTCGTGTCCCTTAGATTTTCTGTTTTACAAGTAGTCTGCCCCTTACAACCCTCTGTTCAAAGGGAAAACTGCATATGAATTGTCCATCATTCGGTGGAAAATTTCTTAATAACAAACTTTTTTGAGTCTGTAAATGAGTTTGAGAATGTAATTCTTTCTAAATTAAAATAATAATGAGATTGCATGGAACTAATATTTTTTTTCTTCTTTTTTTCCCCCCTCCCTGTTCTGTGATTTCCTGACTCTGGTGTTCTGGTAAGCATACTTCCTGTGTAACACCTGTCCACATCTCATCCTGTTTGAGGTTTTCCTAACTTTCATTTTCCATTTTCATTTTGAGATTTTTCAAAGTTTCTGTCTATTTTGGTTGTCAGCATTGAAAATATAATCATTAGATTGTCTGTGGTATTACCTTGCATTTTATCCAAGATGAAAACATCTTTTGACCTTAATGAAAATATAAAAATGACTGCTTGGTAGATATCAGTAAAAATGTGGGTGGCATTGCAAATTATTTAGTGTAGGTTTGGGAGAATAATAATAAATTATCAACATGAAATTGTTCAGTAATTATCAGTAATAAAACAGAAATATTTTTGGGTATATTCAATATGTTCAAATATAAAAACAGAAATTAAATGATACAAATATTGTACATGTTATGTGGGAAAAATAAATGCAAAAATTAAACTTAAACCTTTGCTATATAAAAGTTGCTATTAACAAGCATATCATCATACATAAGTATTATTAAAACATCTGTTTGTCTGTGCAGCTATTTTTCTTGTCTGTCTGTCTAGCTGTCTGTCTTCCATCTGTTTGTCTATATATCTTAACACATCATTCAACACATCCACAAGCAATTTTTTTCTGATCAGTTGGTTGTATGCTTCTCTTTAATCACCTAGACAAGGTGAAATACACATATAGTCTAAAAACCTGAACAAATATTTCAAATCTGTTATTACATGTATAGCAATAAAAAAACATTCAGTATGAAATTATTAAAATTTCACTTCTTAATTATAGTTAAAAAGAGAGTTGTGTTAAGTTTGTATTATATAAAGTTCAACACATTTGGGATTGTCTGTGAGTTTGGCAGTGGTTATCCTTACATGTATAAAATGAATGTTCTTGTAGTCATGTTTAAACACAAAATACATTAAATGTGGGATTGATATACATTACCGATTTTTTGATAACAAAAAATGCCCAATATTCACCCCTCAAGAATTATTTTAAAAAAGTGGCTAATCATACATTTATGTTCATTGTACTTTTTAGCTCACATGAGCTGAAAGCTGAAGTGACCTTTTCTGACCACTCGTCCACCGTCCATCCATCTGTAAACTTTTCACATTTTCAACTTCTTCTCAAGAACCACTGGGTTAATTTAACCAAAGTTGGTACAAAGGATCCTTGGGTAAAGGGGAATTTAAATTGTTAAAATGAAGGGCCAAGCCCCCCCCCCCCCCCCTCCAAGGGGAGATAATCAAGAAAAGACAAAAATGGGAATAGGGTATTAAAAATTCTTCTTCTTACAAAACCACTGGGCCAGAAAAGCTGAAACTTATCTGGAATCTTCCTGAGGCAGAGTAGATTCTAGATTGTTTAAATCATGGCCCGCAGGGTAGGGCCACAATAGAGAATCAAAGTTTTACATTGAAATATATAGGAAATTTACTTACAAATATACTTGTATATAGGGGACAAATATGATGAAGAACAACAGGGCCAAAGTGACTAAGGTGAGCGTTGTGGCCCATGGGCCTCTTGTTTTAAAAAAAAATTCATTTGCTTGTTTCCTACACAAGTTTTTTATCCAAACAAAATTTTTTTACAATGTGTTACTGTAAATGTGTGAAACTATAGTCAAACTGTTACATCATAGCCCTTCTATCTAATATACACCATTGATCTCTCATACTGAAACGTAGCCCAACTTTGTATTGGTGTCTATATACTGTAGAAGCACAAATTTTTGTTGGGATAAAATTTCGTTGATTTTTCATCTAAAAAGGTTTCATGGATATTAATTTTTGTTGTTTTGAATGTAACACTATTCAATATATAGTCATATAAAAATTTCATGTGGATTTAATTTTCGTTGATGATAGTTAACAAAGAAATAAACGAAATTAAAAACCCCATCAAATATTTCTGCTTTTACAGTAAAATGATTTTTTATTATCAGTCTGGCACTTCATTTTATATATATCTATCTTGCAATTTTAAGAAAAGTACCAGTATAATTTGATTGCCTCTCATATACATGTATCTATGTAATGGGTCATCTATCAATAATGAAAAACATATTTTTGCATTTTTGCATGTTAATCAAATATTATAAAAAGTGTACATGTATTATGATTTTTTAGATATTCATGGAGGAGATGTTTAATGTGTAAAAATTGCAAAAAGTGATGATGTAACATGAATTTTTCTTGTATTGTTTCCAGCAAACGTAGACCGGAGGGCCAGCAAGCAGATTTGTCAGATCGTGAGAAACAACTCCTAGAGAAGGAACAAGAGGTGAGTTAATGGTGGTATTGTCTGGGGAGTGATAGTTCTTCTGAACATACCAGAAAAATAAGGATTCCACACACATCTCAAAATAATTGAAAACAAATTTGAAAGGTGTATTAAATTGAGAAGTCCTGAATTAAGATGGGCCTGACATTGTGAGTCAAGGAGTGTATACTCCAGTCTGTCACTGTGTAGATATAACAGTACACTAGGGAATGAACTGGTTTTAATCTTGATGTAATTATAAAGGAAGGGAAAAACCAAGGGATTTTTGTAATGGTAAATGACTGTGTATGTATTGGCAGTAACTTGTAATTAATGACAGTACTCGACCTAAAACAGAGACATGAAGTTAAAAGTGTAAATGAAGAAAAACTAATGGAAGGAACTGTATGTGATAAATGTGAATACTTTTAGCTGAAGAGAATGCAGGAAATGATTGCTAAGATGCAGGCAGAGATGAACCAGCGCAACACACCACAGAAAATGCAGCAGAATGGAGAAGTCAAATCACAGAATGTGTAAAGTTGTCACAGGTAAATCTAGAACACAGAATAAAGTTGTTACAGGTAAATCTAGAACACAGAATATGTAAAGTTGTTACAAGTAAATCTAGAACACAGAATGTGTTAAGTTGTTACAGGTAATCTAGAACACAGAATAAAGTTGTTACAGGTAAATCTAGAACAAGAATAAAGTTGTTACAGGTAAATCTAGAACACAGAATATATGTGTGATTACTGTGAAGTTGTGACCAGTAAATATTAATTACAGAATTTGTAAAGTTTTGACTGGTAGATCTAGTTTTTTTTATGTGGCTCAGAATTTGTGACACAATATTGAACGTAAATCAATTTTTTCATGTTAGATAAACTTTTACCTTTCCAAATTGATTTTTTTTTTTTTTTTTTGCAGGTGACCATTTTGATTGGACCAGTATTGAAGATGAGATTGTCGTATTTATACTTAGCGACCTCAGACAATCCACACACAGCAAAAAACGCTATGTTATCACATCATTACACCAAATCATCAGAAAAGTGTTCAGTTTGTGATGTCTAACATCCATTTTGCTATTCACATTTAGTTTATATTTTGCAAATGCTCTGCTCTGTATGTTAAAAAGTTACATTGACTCATGATTTTTTAATGTAAAATCTGTAATGTTTTTTTTTATTTCAAACTTTGTTATAAATATTGTATGGGATGATTTTTGTATTCTGTGTGAAAAAAGAACATAAAGAAAAATTCATTTTTGAAAGATAGATTTCTCAGATTAAGTGCTTACATAAGCTAAGTATTCTACATTTTAGCATTGACAAACAACCAAAGTCATTGTACATTATATGTTTTATATTTAGTATGAAGGTTTATACTTGTGTACAAATCAGCGGAACCAAAATATTTAAAATCAAAACTAGAAAGCTCTGAAGAAAGGGAGGTAACTCTCCTTTAGCATGCTCTAGTCATCTATCTCCACGATCAGCAGTGACATATTAGAGTTATCTACCTTTATAGATACAGGTTGATGAATTCATTTTTTCTGTAAATTAATTATTTAAATGTCTAATTTAGCTGGTGATTTCTGTTGTAGTTCACATTTTTAAATGTGTCCATTGGTTTTCTTTCTTAATGATATTACTTCCATGAGGACATTCTGTATAACTGATCTCCCATGTAAAATTCCCCATCCCATTTTTTCCCCCATTCATGTAAGATGTATTGAATACACTCTATGTTAAGTGTATTTTTCCTTTATTTTTATATCATTTGTGTAGTCTACATATATGATATTACTTTTGTTTATTTCTAGATATATAAAAAAAAATACTGTAAAGTTTATGAACAAATATAGATCTGAAATTGAGTGAAAGAGCATAATGACCCCACAACACGAAGGAATACTTTGTTCACCATCTTAATAAAGGGAAAAGCCAAGATACGATGAACTTGTAGAAAATCGTATAACTTTATTCTGTTTATAAACTGACTTAGATTTTTGACTGTTTAGTGACATGTATGAAGTATGGTAAGATTTTCCTTGAGATATGAAGACTTCTTTATTATTCTGCTTTATAGCTTGTTCTGCTGATTTTATCTAACTTTGCAATAATTTTGTAACATTTTTATTTAATATGTACATGAATAAATTTAATGTATATAAACATGGGCATTATTGTTGTATTTTAAATGTTGTTACCGTTCTGAATCATAATCTATAATAGACTAATAATTCTGAAAATTGTAAATAATCCCAGGAGCTCATAAGATGATTTGATCAAGGTAAAGGTCGTAGCCTTCTTAAGACAAGGACATAACATTGTAATTCAGGAATAGTAGAAACTCTGCACTGTTGTGTTTCTCATGTCGTAAACTTAACTTCATTAGATCAAGGCACAGGCAATTGTTTCTGTTATATAACACAGACGTATAAAAATATTATACTATGGGTTAAAAATTTATTACACAAATGACTGCCTGTGGATCAGGATGACAGGATTAGGAATAAGAAAGATTATGGCTGAGTTGGAAATGAAAATACTCCCTATTATAAAATTTCAGAAGTACTCTTAGCTTGCAGGAAAATGATACTAGTTACTTAGAGGTGGAAATTTTGATATACCAGTATTTCATAGTGTTAAACCGTTCACGGTAGCTCAGTCGGTAGAGCGCTCGCTTCATGATCGGGAGGTCGTGAGTTCGAATCTCGGCCGCGACTGACCTAAGTCGATAAAAAATGGGTAGCAACTGTTCCTTCGCCATGCGCTCGGCACTTTGAAGTGAAAGTTGCGGGTCCTTCGGATGAGACCTTAAAAACCGAGGCCCCGTGTCATGGCAGGGTTGGCACATTAAAGATCCCTCACTGCTCAATGGCCCTGAGTGCCGTGTAAAGGTCAAAATTTGAAGCCCTTCACCGTTATATGGTGACGTCTCTATATGAGTGAAAAATTCTCAAATGGGACATAAAACAACAAACAATCAATCATAGTGTTAAATCGTAGATACCTTTGTTAGACTTGATGTAGTTTTTGTAAGTCACATCTTGTCATCATGTTTTTCATTCCTAATGGCTTGGATGCTTGTTGGGGTAAATACAGAATGGGTTTCAATGTAAGTATAAAGTTGGACACACCAAGGGGGAGGGAGGGAAGTGTGATGTGATGTGATTTGACTCAATGCAATTCAAGTCTTGTACATATCAGGAGAACAACCTGTCACTCATGCCATTGTTTTTTATACCAATATATAATATATACAGTCGAACTTCAGTACCTCGAACACTGATATCTCGAATACCATGGATATGTTGAAGTGATTTGGAAGCCCCACCACTTATTCTTTAAATATTTTACCATGGATATCTCAAATCCTCAGATATCTAGAAGTTTTTATCTCTGTCCCATTGAGTTTGAGATAACTGCTTTGACGGTATAATTATCTTACAAAACTTATGTAGGGCTATTGTGTAGTAAATTCTCTATGATGTAGAGAATTATAGTGTGATATTACTTCCTGGACCTTTTTTAAAAGGAAATTCATGTATGCTTTTGAAAACAGTATTTTTCACACATGAAATACATTATTTTTACAGAAAAAACGGTTTTGGAAGAACAATGGTGAAAATAAAACAGAATTATAAAAATTAACAGTATATGTACATGTTCAAGGGTTTAAAAGTTAAACATTTTCTGCTGAATTATAATGGTTTTACCAGGTGTATTAGAAATGAAATTGCTTGGAATCTTTTATTGGATATTCAAAGAGTAGAAGGTATTGAATGGAATGAATCCTTACACACCCTGTGTAAGTTCCCTCTTGGGACCATAACATTTTTGTCTAGGCGTTGAGCCCCTGTGAAGTAAAAGGAATCTAAGGTTATATGGTGTGACCATCTTCAAGATCTCTTGTTTGAATAGGTATTCAGAAATGGCAGTTGTGGTTTACTGCCTCATTTGATAAAATTTATAAAAAAAGACAAAGTGGCTCTTTGTACAATTCTTGCTGAGAACTTGATAGTTGTATAGAATCCTTACAGTGAGGTATTGTCTATCAGAAGAGTCTGGGGTGTTGTATGTGGGAAAAGCTGTCAGGAGAGATGATAGATTAAGGGAGGTGATGCTGAAATTACAGGTAAGCATGTTACCTATACAATTACCTTTTACAAGTATGAGGACTTCTCTCAAGAAATACTAGTAATTATTGAAACAAAATTGTTTTGCACAAAGCAAGCTTTCACACTGATGGATTTTTTTTCTTTATTGCTGTGTTTGTATTCTATAAGAATGAGTTATTAATAGTAGCTTAAATATTATGGTTGCATGTATCCATGGTTAATGGACAGTGAGCTTGCTGAAGATCCACCCAAGGAGCTTATTTTTGGAGGGGTTCTGTAGATATGTAGATAGAGTTTTGATAACCTCTTGGCTTTTGTCAGCCTCTGTATAATTACCGTTAACAATTGCAGGGTTAAAACAGTAACCAGTAGGGCATAATGAAAGGAAATCTGGAAGACGTTTAAAGTTTTTTTTGCATTAATGTGTCAGAGAGCGGATGTTCTTTATCCCAGACATCTATGTATTGTTGAGCGATTATTGCAAGAAACTCAGGTGAGTAAAATTTGAATGCATGTAAGAATATCTTTAATGTAGATTTCCATTTTTTGTTTCAATATTTTTAAAGTGCTTTGGAGCAAAACTTCTTTTAATTATTAAACTTAATTGATTTCTGTAAAGCTCAATTTGAATGCATGTAAGAATATCTTTAATGTAGATTCCATTTTTTGTTTCAAATATTTTTCACAGTGCTTTTGGAGCAAAACTTCTCTTAATTTAATTAACTTAATTGATTTCTGTAAAGCTCAATATCATGTATGCATTGAAGAAGACAGTTTTAGTATTTATACTTAATATGGACAGCTCTGTAATTTTTCAGTTATTGAAGTAAAACTTTATTTAGAATTCTGAGTACAATTGATTTTGTGCTAATGAACAGCACGTGAAAAGGGAAAATAGAAATATTTTTGACTTTGAAAAGTAATTTCATGTATAAAATTATCTTCCTTTATTATTAATTGTCCCTTCTTTGAACTCTGTAGTTTTAAACATGATTATTGGCATCCATATTTCTGTCAGCTGTATTTGAAGTCTGTAATGGAGAGATATTTTGATTAAGTATGAGGGTCACCTGAGATTAATTGATCCTCACTGTTGACAAGAGTAACCTGCTTCAGTGTCTGGAGATTGTTAATGACTCATGCACGTGCATGTGTATGCATATCTGTATTGATTAAGTGACAATTGCTCAGGTGTATAGATAATGAGTTCTGGTTGGGGACCGCCTGACCATTAAGTATCCTTTTGTCTCCCTGCCAGATTAATGAGACAGGAATATTTTAGCAGCTGGACCCCTCCCTTCCCACAGGTATATACATTCCTCGCTGTCTGTTTGTGAGCATAGTATTTTGTCTGCTGTGTGTGATACATCAGTTTCAGATGTCAGAGTCCATGATTTATTATAATTTTTGAAATTGAAAGAATTTGACTGCAGTTGGCAAACACGTTGTTTTTGCCCTTTGGGGTGTAATATACTAGAATTTAATCACTATTTCAAAATGATGCATAAACTTGTCTATCATTGAATGGTCATCATTGTTAACTTATATGTATTTACTCAGGCAGTTCATAGATTTGCCATAATGAGTGCTTAATGCATGCTAATTATTGTATTTAAAAAAAATGGTGGTTTGAAATATATTACAAGTTACAAGGAAGGCTGGGACTTCCAATTTACTTCCTTATAATCAAGATTCGATCTTAAATATAACCGTTTAGGTAATGTAATTTTAAGTCATCGAGGGGATTCATAAAAAATTCTTACTGAGATTGCCTTATATCCAAGTTCTTTATGGCTGAGTTTTACGGTAATCACCTTGAAAACAGGCATATATTGCAAAAACTGGGTAAAAGATGGAAAGGGATGTTTTTCTTACTATAAACTCACATGAAGAATAAGTTATTTTTACTGCATGCTTCGTAAAAGATAAGTCACTTTCAGGGGAGGTAAATGTTTTTAGGTAAAAATAATATCAAAGAGATGAAGATAACAAACAGTGATGAATCAAAAAAAAGCTACAAACAATAAAATCTGTGGAGAGGGAATAAAACACAGACCCGTGGAAATTCCAGAAATAGGATCAGGTGCTTAGGTTGAGTATTGGTATGAAATATATCAGTCAAGATACGACCAATTGTTAGGTTGTATTTGCTAACAAGGTCATTATAATGACTGTAGAATTAATAAAATACTGACTTAAATGAGGATGTTGAAATCCCGGTAACATCAGCTTATTTTTCAGTAGCCTGCCCCCCTTTTTTTGCCCTCCCAAACGATCTGAAAGCTCACTGACAAAATATTTTTTTCTTTTTTTTTTGAAATTAGAAGAAAATTCTCAATTTCCAAGGACAAGTGCTTATGGACAGGATCCCCCCCCCCCATAAAGACCCCCAGGCCTTTTTGACAGTTTTCTCATTATTATCTCTCAATGAAATATTAATACAATCCATACCATAAAAATTCATAAATTTAACTAAAACAAAAATTTTATAAAAATTTCTTCCTCACCTTATATATAATTTATACTTAATTTATATTTTATCAATAAAATTTGCTAATACATGTACATGCTTATAGCAAATACGCTTATAATGAATTAATTTATACAGTGATGTGATTTTCATTTCCCATGCCTTTTGAAATATATTGTAAAAATTCTCAATCTCCAAGGACAGGTGCTTAATGACAGGTACCCCCCCCCCCCATCCCCCATGTGCCCCAGATATAGACCCCTGGGTCTTTTTGACTTTTTCTCATATAATTATCTTTCAATGACATATTTATGATAATTCATACCACAAATTCCAAATATTACCTAAAACAAACATTTTATAAAAATTTCTTTCCCACCTGACACAGTAAAACATGCCTATAGTGAATATGCTTATAATGAATTGACACTTACAGGAAAGTGATATTCATTCCCCATGCCTTTAAAAGTATATTGTAAACTGTAAACTTAACGAATATAATGAATTATGCTTATAACAAACAAAATCGTCTGTCCCTGCATGGTACTTAGCTATAAGCATATTTAACTTTATGTATATAATATATCACAGAAGTTGTCATAAATAACAGTAGTTCTTAACATTAAAAATCAACAATTGTGGAATATAAATCTATTAGATCTCAATTTATATGGACTTAAGGCTTCTTTTAATACTGTAAACATAATTATTGTAACTACAGTATTCATATTTTAGCAATCTTTCATTCTGCTTCTTGTACACATTAATGATATGTCATGCAAACACATTCACATATCAAGCTTTAATTTGCTTTAATTTGCTCCAAGTTTACTTATTCATTATTATACTAATCAGCTGATAAGGAAGATTACACTAATTTTTGAGTGTACTTATTTATTAATATTTAAGCATGTTTGCAGTTTACTCCTCTTTGGCTTATTTTCTTCCAAATGGATAAGGAGAGAGAGAGAGAGAGGGAAAGAGAGAGAGAGATGGTTTCTCAATCCCAGCTGTGACCGTTACATATTGAGCTAGGATAAGAAGTCCCATCTGATGCAGTATCTTTGACATCAGATCGTGTACCAGTGATGTTTTTAGCTCTGTTCAGTAGTAGGGTAATTGTCAGCGGTAGATATACAACTGATATATTCCCACAAGGTCAAAGCAGGAGGTGTAAAGGTGCTCAGAAAATATCTTTTACAGGAAATTGTAACCTCTGAATTTCACTCTCTGAATGGAAAAAAACTTCCTTTCAAGATATAGAATTTTAACTAAAATTTGTTATGTATGAGTAAATATCAAAGGTACATTGTAGAAAAAGTTTCCTGTAGAATAATTATTGCACCTTCTCAATTCACCATTCAAGGTCAGGTACCTACCAGTGTGTAATAATTACTTTGAAGGAAAACCTTGCTACGGGACACCCAGTTCATCGTTTTGTTTACATTTGTCCGCATGCACCGTGTGCTGCATGTCCTGAATTCCAGGAAGTAACATGTGGGAAAATCTAGTATTAACACAGAGTGATACATTAATTTATTGCATGTTATTTATAATTTGATCATGCTGCATATTTTAGTTTATAAAAGTCAAACATCATGGACTCTAAAGCTTTAATTATTACAATAAGGTAACTCACTGACAGGTAGTTAATATAATTTGAGATTAACATCGAGACTGAAAGGGGTTGAATCCTATTCTCTGAATGTCAACTGCATCCATCCACACAGCACATTGTCATCCATCACTAATTTTCTATCATTTTCATAAAATCAGTACTGGCCCCATTTTCTTCCTTTTAGCGTATAGTACTTATAGTTACCTCTGTAGAGAAGTTCAAATTAATAAATTATAAAGTTTTGAACACAATATTCATAATGTGTACAACAATGATATGACCAAATCACTGTTCTCAATATTGACCTTCAACCTTTTGTACTCATGCAGACTGAAAGACCAGCATCCAAAGGTCAAATGCCCCTCTGTATTGTGTTCATTACTTTGGTATGGACACATGATGCAGGTTTCAGATGCTACACCCTCCTGCAGCTAATGTGTGATTCTGAGCCAGCCAGGTTACCTCATAATCATTGTTTTAAAATGTCTTGTTACAGTGAAAACTGTCTAATCCGACACCTGTGCAATCCGTCACACTGTGGATTCCGACGATAAATTTCGTTCCCATTTTACTATTTTCGTTTTATTTTTCACACTGTGTAATCCGACTTCCTGTCTAATCCGACACAAAATTTGTCTCCCAGTGTATGTCAGATTAGACAGGTTTCACTGTACTTATAATAAGGACATGATATCACCTTTTGCAAAACAAAAGTATTTTTTTTCTGTAAATGTTGAACCTCATTTTGCAGCTCTTTCCTCTACAACTGATAGCTAGTCAGCTCTTCCTTTAAAATGTTTTATCCTTCAAAATGAGAGGTTTGAGTTGCTAGGGTCTGGAAAAAAGAAAAAAAAACAGCTCATGTCATTTTGTCAGGCGTGTATTAAGGTTGGATGCTCTTAGCCCCTTCCCTCCCCCTCCAAAAAAAAAAAAAAAAACACAGTCCATGACCCACTGGGGACCTTGGCATTACCCGGCTTATAGCACCCCCTCAAGTGCAAAATCCTGGATCCATGTCTGATGGTTATATCCTATTCTTTTTTTTTAAATAAATAATGTTCACATCACATTAGTTATGTACTACATTAATAAATTTTAAAAATGCATTCACTTAGCCTCATTGATTTTGAATTTTATAAATATTAACTATATTCAACTTATGTACTGGAAAAATATCAGCTTGCATCAGCTGTTTGCATAAATTGTGCAATTTTGTGTCATGTACCTTAACAATTAAGTGCTTAATATATTTAATTTAAAATTGTAAACAGATGATGAAGGAATCTATTACACGGTGTAAAACAGATTATGTCAGAAAGTCAAACATCACAGAACATAAATAGATCTGCCACAGGGATCAGTAACAATTAAAAACAGATAACAATTCCATTCAATGTTTTCTCTTTCTCTATGATCTCAGATGCAGATGCAGAGGAAGAAATGCACAAACATCTCTCAATAGGATGACCAGGCTTTTATTTTGCTTAATTTACCAATCCTGTGAGGTAGGTACCTACATTTTTCAAGTTTTTGAGAGGAAAGTTATAAAATTTTAAAAACTTGACCTAATTGTTGTCTGAGATTGGAGGAAATTTAATCCACAAAAGTGCTCAATCTTTTACTGTAGGAGAACTCTTTTATTCAGACTTAATTAACCATATTTGCCTTAGAAGCAACAGGTAGAAATGATGCATGGGGATGGCAATACATGTATTATGTTAACAATTGAAATTTAGAGAAAGAAATTTTTTTGGTAGGCAAGTACAGGTTTTGCATATTTTAAGAACTTTATTTTCTATGAATTAAACTATTTTTTATTAGAAAATTCATTCAATATACTACATTTATAAAAATAACAAAATGTTAATTTTGTTTATATGCTATGTAGTATATATTTCAAACAAGTGACAATGACTTTTCCACAGGTTTACTGGGTGCATGTCAGATTACAACTAGTACTCACAAGCAAATCAGATCGCACGTTACTAAGTACTGGCGAGTCGTGCATTGTTCGCGTTCAAATTTTGAGAAAAGATTAACTGGATGTGAAATATTGTAAATGTGAAATTTAAAGTGTTAATTGTCTTCTCAAGTTTTATTTTAGTGTTGACAGTTTCCTCCTAGCTATTGATTTGTAATTGAGGAAATATTGTTTCTATTTGTTTTAGCAGGAAGTTTAGTCTCCATTTAAAAGGGAAATAAGGTTTAGAATCCGCAATGTTCCGAAATCTAATGGACAACCCTAAGTTCAGTCACCTCCAAGACCAAGGTAATTTTAATTTTTTATCATTAAATGTGAGAAATATCTTAAACAATGTAAAATTATTGAGCAGATTCACAAGATTACATTATAACACCCATCTGACAAAATTTACTTAATGCAGAATGGATGATTTGTATTTCAATAAAATAAAAACTCCAAATAGCTGTCATTTGCTGGGATAAAATCTTTTGCATAGTATTCTTTAGATAAATTGTGAGATTTGAGATCCTTTTTACATTGATTTATACATGCAATGAATTTTTAGTAGAGGTTTTTTTTTCTGATTAGAAAGAAAAATCATTTTAGCTTACAGAGTAGTGTTTACAGTCTTGCTTGTGTATGACTATATTACCCCAATACTATGTAACATAGCTTTACTATTGTCAATAAATTATTGAAAAACTTTTTTCAAAACTATTTTCAAAAAAAAAAAAAAAAAAAAAAAAAAAAAAAAAAAAAAAACTTAAAACAAAAATAAAAAAGAAAAATCAATACAAGTCCACACAATAAGCACTTTAAATTTCCTCTTCACAAACTGATTAGATTTTCCTTGTTACTTGATTATGTTTTTGGTGCAAATTTTAATAGTGATTTCTACAAATCTTATGTTTCAGCAAGACTTTTTTAAATATATTTTTTTCTTTTTTCAATATTGTACATGTAAAGTACATAAGTAAAAATGGCAGTACTCTAGTTTTTTTAGGACTTAATTTTAACTACTATGGAAACTGATTGCTTCAGTCTGGTAAATGTTTGTCCGTTGTGAAATTATTTGTTTTATCTTGTCTTCATTTATTTGATTCAGTGTACAGTTCTCTCTCAACTTAGTGAAGTTTTAAAGAGACAATTTCTCTTCATGAATTATTAAAGCATTACAGTAAACGTATAAAATATATAAAGTATAACAAAGCTAAATCATCCATCCCTGGCATTTTGTTATAAGCTTGTTTTACTGTATTCAATTAATCTGCAGTGTAATCAAATGCAACAACAAACTTTCTGTAGGACTTGCCAGCAAAACCCAAAGTAAAGAACTGGCAGACAGACAGACAAGACTGACTAACCAGGCCAATAAACCAGGACTGTCGAGACTGGAGGAAGATAATCCAGCGGTAAGTTTTAGGTAGAAACAACTGCAAATCTGATATTATTTTAGACAATCGAAGGTGCAACACAATGCTGATCTTAGCTATATATTCTTATTCATGTGTATTATTTTTAGAGGAATATTCATATAAAAAAATACTGGTCAGGAGACATTCTTTTGTGTATATCAGTTCTTTTCATACATTTAGTTTATATATTCAAGATGTTAGTGTTGAAATCAACAGCGTCCCCCCCTCCCCCCTACAAATCATCACATATTTAACAAAATTCTTTTAGTATCAATTTTAGATAATGAAAATTTTCACTACACAAAAGAGTTCAGTCGATGTAATTTATAGAGAGAAAAACTTTGAATCAGGAGGGATTTAGAAATAATTGCTTCATTAAGAGTAGTCTTCAGAAGTTATCCCTCTTTGTCCATGAATTTCTCACACGAGAGAGCCGATTATTGACTCCCTAGTTTCAAACAAACTTTGATGATGTTGATTTTGAAATGATTAAATTTGACCTACACAACTTAAGAGTGTTGTTTTGTATGAGGTAATTACAGTGCAGGCTGCAGGGACCATTTTCTGTTATTTTGTTAGATCATAAAAATGTATTTAATCTGCTTAATGCCTTAAAACTATCTTGTACACATGTATTTAGAATTTGAAATTGCAATGCTGAAATTTGATATATCTGCTTCCTTTAGCATTATTTACACAAAACTTCCAGTAGCATTGATCTTATTAATTCAGCATAGGCTCAGCATAGTTATCATGCTTAGCATTCGATCAATCAACAAACTCCTAGTGTAAGCAAACATTAATATCAGCAGCCTACAAGGCTTGGCATTTGAAAAAGAAACCAACATTACTGCTGTAAAAGAAGAGGGTTATGTAATGCATGTAAGCAGCATTTGATACAAGTAACTTGATATAATGATAACGACATTTGTAGACTAGTAATGTTCAACTATCATCTGCATATGGTGTTTATGTCTCCCAACTTATTTGATACTCAGAAGCGTGCTCTTTTGAACCAAGGCAGGCTACTGACAATTAAATTGATGTTACAGGGATTTCAACAACCTCATTTAAAATCAACATTTCATAAATTCCATGGTCCATGGTAATGGGTCCATCATAATGACCCTGTTAGCAAATAAAACCTATCTTCGGGCATATTTTGACAGACATATATCATACCAATTGCAAGAAGTTTGTAATTATAATAAATTTGACTAAAAATTAATACATCTACCTGATAAATCACTTAAAGCTCACAGTGGTTGACCTGATTCAATCTCTGTAATTTCCAGGGGTCCATGTTTATGCCCTGTTCACAGATTTGTATTGTTTGTAGAGTTTTGGGATCGATCACTGTTCCTTCACCTATTTCATTTACAGGGTTGTTCATAAATAATGCTTGATTGACATTACACTTAAGCATAATTCATCAATGTACATCTGCAGATTCAAAATGATTTATTCCAAGCATGAAATTGATTAAGACATATAAATGTAATGATTAACATGTAATTTTAGTGTAACATGACCTGTATCAGAACTAATTAATAGCCAGTGTTCACTATGTTGAAGCTACTTGCTGAATGCTGAACTGAAAACAGTTCATTTTTGTGAAGTAACTAATGACAACAGAATATGTAAACTCAACAGATAACACAAAGGATTTTATAAATTCCAAAATAAACTATAATAACCGGAGATATTTGTAAAGGAAACACAAAAAGGTCATCATTTAGGGTTGAATATATATTTACTGTAGCTTAATTTGTGGAATAGATCGATTTTAAGATTACTTCAGACAGACATCTGAACTATTGATCATTGGGGTGACAGATTTTCTATGATAGATCAGGATCATTCAAAAACATACAGATATCAATGTTTGATATGGTTTAAAGCTTCTAACACCTGGTATTTCATGCCTTGTCACATAGCTATTTATTTATTGGATGCTTTTCTGTGAACCACTAATTAATGTGTGATTTGGAATGTGTTTAATTAAATTATTTTTTGACTATGTCAATTCTTACACTTAATTATGTCATAGTAAGTTTGAACCTGCATTTGATGTAATTGTGGGAGACTTTGATAAATTCGATTTGGGCAGAGGATATTAATTGCAATGCTATGAAGATTTACGAAATTATAATTCGATAAATAAACCTGGAGAGTTTAGATGAATCAGTATGTTAAGGATTAAAGCTTTTCAAGAAACTGTGAGTAAAACTTTATATGTGTTATCTCCCTTGAAACATTTCATTCATGCACCTCTCTCTCTTTCAATGCAAATAACTTTTGCTTTCATGGTATAAAATTCTGTTCACTTATCCAATGGCAATCAAATCATAACCAATTCAATTAATTTCTAAAATTTTATAGATTGAAAAATAAAAAGAAGGATTATTACCTCTGCATCCAATAGACCTTAATAATTTAATCAAACATAGCTTTTGAACATCTTGACTATAACAGCAAATTTTGAAAAATAATTAAAACACTGTGGGTTTAGCTTCATTTCTTGTGGGTAATGTAATGAATTTGGGTTATTTAATGAATATTGTTCCAGGTGATCTGATATTCAGTTTGTAGAGGTGTATGAAGATAGACAAGTTCTTATCAGGGTTTAGGTAAAATCATAACAGGAGTGGCTTCCCCTTGGAAGGAACAAACAGATTGACAGATGGCGATTTTAATCCAAACTTTACAGAAATCCAGGCTTTACCTTGATTAAACAATTCATTAACTCAATCTCTGTAATCTTAGAGCAGGCAGAATTCCAGATGGTCCTGGGACACACAGCTTCTATGGTTTACTTAATAAATTGTAATTAAAAAATCTGAATTTGGAAAGTATAACAGGTTGCATGTAATGGAATTATAGGTATATTATCTATAGATTATTTATCTCCTTGTTACATTTTATATTTTTTTTATCTTCTTTCTGCATAACATCAGCATAATGACCAGAAACACTTCAAGAGCTGCCAATAATTTTCCTATTATTCACTTAGTCAGCCTCACCCCTAGGGGACTGTTAGAGCTAGTTAATAAACATTCAGGTTCTGTAAATCACAGGACCCAGTAGATCACCAAAGGAATGCACATCTAGTAATCTGTCAGAACAAATCAATAATTGTCCCCAGGTACACTGATCTCAAATTTTAATTTCCCTGTCATAATCTGCATCCTCTCTTTAGTTGATATTCAGGATCAAAGTTGAGCAGGAAAAAAATAATACACTGCATCTTCTTGTCTTTTAACAGGTATAGGTCCCATCTTTTGTAGACTCACCTGTGACCTGTAATAAATGTTACAAACTGTCTTTGTATATGAGTTTGTGTATTCATGTTTAATTTATTCTACTAGACAAAGGTTAAATGAGCTGATACCCCAGGGAGAATAAGATAAAGTGATCCATTTTGTCAGTATGTTTGTCTGTATGCGACCACACAATAACTATAAGACTCTCGGCTTAACAGATGTAACTTTCTATGTGATGTCTCTATTTTTCCGTGAGAGATCAATACTAGTGAGTGCTCTGTGGAAAGTCCCTGATGGATATTGATCTAAGACTCCTCACCAATCAATACAGAGATCACGGTCTATAGCTTCTCTCTGCTTTGTGTTGGAGTCTGGAGCCTGAGTATGTTCAGATCTGTGAGTATAATCCCGGTTTTAATTTTTTCTCATTCATTGCACCACTGCATTACTTGATTTTATGAATTACTTGCTCTCCCATGCAGGCACCGTATTTTCTTCAGTAGCCTGGAATGTAGTCCTTGGATTGTTTTGATCCGACTTGAAATTAATGCTATTATGGTGTAAGTCTGGCAGATTTAGTTGACTAAGCCCCTGTCTGAGGCCATGTTTGGATAATCAGATAGATAACTCTGATGGACTGGTCCAATCTCTGTGTATCACAATCCAGATAGCATCACTAAACAGTCTGTGTATGATGTAAGGTCATATTTATGGATTACATCAGTATAGGCTAACATAGGTCAGTGTATTTAATGGTGATGCCATCATAAACTAGGTTTCCATCATTAGACTCAGCTTTTCTGGTAAAAATTTGTAATCTAAGGGGGAGTGTGTTTTAAAGGGACATAACTCCTCCAAACATTACAATTCAAGAATTATCACTGCCGTATCTGTTTGCAGATGAAAAGTTCTTTCTTTTGTTTTGTATGCACCGTCACATCAGTAAACAACTGATATAATCTAAGGACATTTGCAATAATTGTTCCTGCCTTAAGGTAGACAATACATTACATTTTTAGAAAAAGACTTAACCGTGTATTAGGCATTGTAAATGGAAGACACTGTCTAATGGCTTTTGGAGACAGAAACTTTATATGTAGGTCAGAGTTTAGCAGTACATAGGTTAATCACATTGTACAAACTGGTACCCATTCTCCTGGTAAGGACAGACCATTGTAATGCCCAGTATGGTGTCGTCTTCAACTGGACATCAGTTTAATGTTTTAATATGACATGTATCTGACCTAAAAGCAGCTGGTACTGGTCAAGGTTCCTCTTTATGTCCAGTACCAGTGACCAGAAACTCCTATCTGCTGGGGGCATAGGCCAGCCCCGTTTTGTAAACACCTGTGGTAGACAATGTTATTGTTTATGTTTACATACTGAAATACGGAGCCTTTTAAAATTCCAGAGGTTGATGTATATGGGTTGAACTGCTATATTGAATTAGCTAAGGATATTGTTATTTTAGCATTTGTATGGCATTTTGTTGTCTTTCCATTGGCCTAAAGTTTTTTTCATTAATTTAAAAACTATAAGTTAACGTTATTCCTTAAAACAAACCATTTGTTTAATGAGAAGTTGATCTAGGACATCATAGATAGATTTCCTGCAAAGGAAATAAATAAGATTTTAATGAACATGTAAAATATTTTAGCGTCAGCTTAGGCTGTTACGAGTTTTACATATGGTGAATTTCCTTAATACATGTAGGCATATAAGGAATTCAATTTTTTCTCACTGATTATAATCTCAGGTGCAGAAATCTTACCTGAGGAAAGAACCACACCTAGGACTCCACAAATATCTGTTGTCATTAAAAATTGATATAATCTGTGATAAAATCATTTATTGTCATGGTAATAGAAATGTCTCTCAGGGACAATATATTTGTAAAGGTACTTGTCGAGTTGTCACAGTTGGATGTAGAACTGGCAAATAATAGTTTTCATTTTAGAATTCATTCTCATAAGGCAAAAATATATATTTTTAAAGCTGTACGTAGACATGCTGTAAAAATGTTCATTTGTTTTTTTTTCCTTTCCACCCCCACCCATGCCCACCCCCTCCAAATCCCAACCACCACCATTTAAAAGAAGAAATAATCAAGATACTTAAAAAAAGTGTATCTGTAACAATCATTCCTATATATTGAACATTAATCACTACATTGAAGAACTACATATATCAGTAAAGTAAAGCTTGGACACTGGAGATTCACTGTGATGTCATCTCCTGCAGGTATCTAAGCACTAGTTTACAAATTGTTACATGTAAGAAGTCATTTTATGTCAACAGATGCAACATGACTAGCATACCTAGATCTCATAGAAATGGAATGTGCCATAAGATAAATGTAATGTAAGTAAGAACATGGACCGGTCCTTGCACAGGTAAGTGTAGCATGGCCCATGGCCAGTTTATCTCTGGGCATCATTAGAAGTCTTAACACCAATGACACAGTACCAAACTAGAACAGACAGAGGCCCATTCACTTCTGACAAACAGACCATGGCACGAATTGTAGGAATTCACCGGACTGTGACCGGACCAATGCTTCAGCCACTACAATGATTATGTATGCATGTATACTTACAATCCTTCACTGCTCAGTTGTGATGGTAATTTGAAGGCAGAAATTGCTCGTAAAATTCAGTGAGTGCATGCAGCTGATGTTCTTCTAAGGAGATTGTGTGGAATTTTTATATTATTTGGAGAGTTGACAAGAAGAATGTAAAAGAGCATACCAGAAAAAAGTTTTCCTTTTGGAGCTAAGGATGATTTGATGTGGATATAATGGATTTTAAATGGTGGACAAGTTTTAATTAAATTCTGATTGTAGAAGGAATGTCAACATTGGGCAATCTGTTGTAAACACACAAATCATCCCTTACCATGGAAGGCAGCAGTACACAAAAGAAATCCCGGAATCCATTCAAGTTTTCATTAAGCACTTCATCACTAAAACCTAGTCCAAACCCTCCGAAGCCCGATCCATCAGCAGCCTCCATTCTGCGGCCTCGGAAACTCCTCAGCAATGACAATTCAAAGAATCGTTGGTCCTTATCTCCTATTGGTTCAAGTCTGCTTCCCAATGACCAAGCAGGTAGTGAGTCTAAGCTTCATAGTCTCAGTCAGTATGAGACCAGTACTGGGATAAAGTATTCAGCCCAGCCTATTATAGGTCGACATCACAGAGAAAATGGTGTCCTTCATCATGAGGAAGAGAGAGGGAGACGGATCTATGATAGACCTCGCTCCCAGGTATACCCCTCCTCACCACTCTCACCCTCACCTCAGGATTCTCTGTATGACACACCAAAAGCACCACCCCCCCTGCCACACCCATCCTCACCTAGAACCCCACCCTCATCAGAGGGAACACCAAAGTCTGCCAGTTTACCTTCACCTTTGACCCCAAAGGAAAGGGACCTTAACCAGAACTATCCTACAAAGGGGTCAGATGACAATGTCAAAGAAGTGCAGGAAATTAAACTCTCAGTGGCAAGGTCACTAGGACCTTCTGATGTTGGGTCAAGTTCTACAGGGTCAGTTGAGGATGAAGCTGATAGTGGTAAGACAGAAGTGACCTCCCCTGTTCGCCCCCCTAGGAGGACCAGCAGTTCTTCCAGTGCTAGCAAGAAGCCTCTATCTGTTGTTCGTCAAGGTTCAGAGGAACCTCAGACTACTGAGGGAGGGGCAGAAACCAAAGAACCACGGCAATGGAAACCTCGGCCCCCCATAATAATCCCACTTGATCCAGTTACAGTGGTGAGTTCATACAATGATATATAATGGTGAGGCAAAGATTTATGCTGGTCTAGAATTTTTAGCATTTAGTTTTAAGTTGCCTTAGAGTTTCACATGCATGTTACTCATTTAAGGGAAAAAAGGTGACAATATTTCTGAATGCTATAATTGAGATTTTTGAAGCGATGACAATGGTGACAATTTGACTATTTGATGACCAAAACAAAAGTCTTATTATCTTTTAATGACATTGAATCTAAAGAGATTCTGGAGGTCTGATTTTCTTGACAAGTTACAGATTTTTACTTATCTATTTTTTAATCATCTCATTTGCAATAAAGATTGTCTGAGTAGATAAAAAAAAATACTGGAGGCTTTCATTTAACAATCTCAGACAGGTTTGGATTACTATGTCAAATAACCATTCAAGTTTTTATTGGGGAGATGATTATGATGGACTTATATCAGTTATTTAAAATTTTTGGTATACTTTTAAGTTCTGAATTAAAATTGTTAGATTTTTGTTGTTGTACAAATTGCAGTGTGTAAAATGAATGATACACTAGCTGAGTGCTTACAATTTTTAGTCTATGGTGTGTCACAGAGCATAGCTGCATGCATTTTTTTTTTTTTTTTTTTTGAAAAAATATGCATTGAAATGACACTTATAGGCATTTTCCAGGTGTGAATCAGTGTTAATTAGAGATTAACATCATAAAGCTATTGGTCACTACTGACCAGTTCAGTATCTGTCATTAGTGACACACTGTAATCAGGGCATTGACAGATTATAGGGAGCCTTACGTCCAGACGTAATGTCTTCTGTGGTTATTTCTGTAAGAATATTTCTCTGGTCCATCAAGTTTGACAGCTTTACACTTATTGGTCATTAACTGAATATCAGTGACCCATTTACAGGAGAAAATTTCATATCACACCCCCTGGTCCTTAATAGCATGATATCATTATATATTAACATAATATGTTAATAATGTGCATAATTTTCCCCAGTAATATCTTTTTTTCAAATAAAAAAAATATCACAAAAAATAAAGATATTCAAAGTTTTGCTAAATCACAATGCCATTTATGCATAAATACTGTCAAAAGTTGCTTTAAAAAGTTGATTTTCACATGCTAATAATATTAATGAATGTTTTTCTTAATATGGTAATTCATGAGAATTGACATAACTTGCTCGTATTAACATACAATTTATGAATGAAGTTTTGTATCAGATATCACTCAGTGTTTAAAAAATGTCAGTTTGATATAAAAATTCCACAAAAGGAACTTGATCGTTTGAATGTGAAGGTGACTTTGGGACATTCTACGCTCTCAGCACCCTTGAACATCATATTACAGGATTGCCAAACCAGGGTATATCGCAATTGCTAAAATTTTTTGATAATGGAAAAACATTATACATGTACCTGGTAATTTCAACTATATAACAAGGATTCTAATTTTTGCATTGTCTCTCACAATAATACAAATAAAAGTAGATAAGATATATAAATAATAAGTAAGTGTAATATATGATTTAGCAACAGTCTAAGTAAACAATGAGTGATAAAAAGAAAAATATATACAGTGAAATATATAAATTAGATGGTATATGGAAAAAATAAAGATAAAATCAAGAATATAAGTAATAAGACATCTATCTGATGCATGGCAACTTGGTGAAATGACTGCCCCGGTTGTTTTGTATAGTGGGATTGACCAGTGACATTTTTATGTATGATCTCCTATAGCACCACTGTAATTACAGAACACACTGTATTGTCTGGTTAATGCCGGGAGTGGACGTTTAATGGGGACCAGTACTTGTGTAAAACTAGAACAACTGGTCCCCTTTCTCTGGAATGTACAGTAGAATGATAGTAAACAAGTCATATCATGGCTGTAGGTGGTCCTTGGTGTCAAGTACATAGTATTGGGTTTTTATGGTTGCCATATGCAAAAACAGTACAGTATCGCTCCATATAAGGATGAAATAAACAGCATAAATATGTTTATTTTCAAATTTTTGTCTGTGAAAATGTCAAAATTATCAATTCATATACCAAAAATGGTTATCTTTAATGACGATGTTTTTCTTTTTTTCTGTTTCATTTCAAAAACCTAATAAAAACTTTGCCTTTACTACATCGGAAGATATGATGCAATGGAAAATCCCCATGCTATTTTACATTAAATATCCTTATGTGCAGAAAAGCTAGATTTTTTTTTTTTTTGCTCAAAGAAATAGGTTTGCCATTATATAGCAAAACAGCCAGTGGGTGACATTTTAATGAATCCCATAAAGGTCAAAGGTTGTCCTCAAATGACATCAAAATCTTTTGAAGTTGAACTCAGTAGGGGGGTCTTTTTATTTGAAGTGGTAAATATGTTCATATTGTGAAAATGAATACTGAATTTTTCATCATCTAAAGATTCAAAAATTCAATATTAAAGGTAACAAAAAATAAATGTTATAGAAAGTTTAGCATGTGTCAGGTGCAAGGTCAGCCAATGGGAAGAAAAATCTACAACATTGTACAGGCATAGATACCACAGTGTAACATGTACATCAGAGGAGAGATTCCTACACTGGGTGTCAACCAAATTACAATATGGAGAAATATAGAGATAGCCTGATTTATTTTATACATTTTTACAGGATGATGATGACTTTATTGGTTTTGCTACGCTCCCAGATCAAGTTCACAGAAAAGCAGTTAAACGTGGATTTGAGTTCTGTCTGATGGTTGTGGGTAAGAATCATAATTTATATAACATTAACAGAATATAATTTTTAAAATAAGAATGCATTGTGTTTTGCAGACATCATCAGTTCATTGCCATACAGATAGTGTACTGGTGGGATCACCCTTTCTCACCTTTGTTTCTTCTTGCCTATAGCTATCAGTCACCTCTCCATAAGCTTTTGATTCCTATACAGTTATTGCCCTCCCTGTCAATGGTTCCTACTACTGCTGCCCTCTCTGTCAATGGTTCCTACCACTGTTGTCCTCTCTGTCAATGGTTCCTAACTACTGCTGCCCTCTCTGTCAGTGGTTCCTACCACTGCTGCCCTCTCTGTCAATGGTTCCTACCACTGCTGCCCTCTCTGTCAATGGTTCCTACCACTGCTGCCCTCCCTGTCAATGGTTCCTACCACTGCTGCCCTCTCTGTCAATGGTTCCTACCACTGCTGCCCTCTCTGTCAATGGTTCCTACCACTGCTGCCCTGTCTGTCAATGGTTCCTACCATTCTTGCCCTCTCTGTCAATGGTTCCTACCATTGTTACCCTCTCTGTCAATGGTTCCTACCACTGCTGCCCTGTCTGTCAATGGTTCCTACCACTGCTGCCCTGTCTGTCAATGGTTCCCACCACTGCTGCCCTCTTTGTCAATGGTTCCTACCACTGCTGCCCTCCCTGTCAATGGTTCCTACCACTGCTGCCCTGTCTGTCAATGGTTCCTACCACTGCTGCCCTGTCTGTCAATGGTTCCTACCACTGCTGCCCTCCCTGTCAATGGTTCCTACCACTGCTGCCCTGTCTGTCAATGTTTCCTACCACTGTTACCTTCTCTGTCAATGGTTCCTACCACTGCTATCCTCCCTGTCAATGGTTCCTACCACTGCTGCGCTCTCTGTCAATGGTCCCTATCACTATTGCCCTCTCTGTCAATGGTTCCTACCACTGTTACCTTCTCTGTCAATGGTTCCCACCACTGCTGCCCTCCCTGTCAATGGTTTCTACCACTGCTGCCCTCCCTGTCAATGGTTCCTACCACTGTTGTCCTCTCTGTCAATGGTTCCTACCACTGTTGTCCTCTCTGTCAATGATTCCACCATTGTTGTCCTCTCTGTCAATGGTCCCTACCACTGTTGCCCTCTCTGTCAATAGTTTCATTATTGTTGCCCTTTCTGTCAATGGTACCTACCACTGTTGCCCTTTCTGTCAATGGTACCTATCACTGTTGTCCTCTCTGTCAATGGTTCCTACCACTGTTGTCCTCTCTGTCAATGATTCTACCATTGTTGCCCTCTCTGTCAATGGTTCCTACCACTGTTGCCCTCTCTGTCAATGGTCCCTATCACTGTTGCCCTCTCTGGCAATGGTCCCTACCACTGTTGCCCTCTCTGTCAATGGTCCCTACCACTGTTGCCCTCTCTGTCAATGGTTCCTACCACTGTTGCCCTTTCTGTCAACATTTTTTCATTATGCTTGTTCACATTTTTTCATTATGCTTGTTCCCACACTTTGCTGCCTTTATCCATCTCTTTTGCCCAAATGTTCTTGCACCTTTGTTAACAAAAAGTGAGTGGTCTCAACAGTACACCAAGCATATGTAAGTCTGTGTTTAGTGTTTGACTTTCCTGACCAACATATTATTTTGTTTTGTAGGAGAAACAGGGCTTGGCAAATCTACCCTGATCAACAGTTTGTTTCTCACAGACTTGTACAAAAACAGGGAGCTTCCCATCCATAGATTAGGTAAGATAATAAAGCTTCTTGTAGATATACTGGGTGTGTCAGAAAGCTCCCCTACAAATATAGGGCTACTGCTGTAGATGTTTTGAATAAATGCAAGATTGCTTAATCAGAAGAAAAACACACCTTTTCTTCTGTCTAAGATTATTTTGTAGAGTACTTGAATATTCTATGAGGGAACATTTGTATGTAATTAAAGATACATGTAAATAGCAGCTAGAAAGGATGGGAAAAACATGCATCCATGTACCATAAAATATTGCTGGGTTTTCTGATCTGTCCAGTTCTTATTTTGACATAAATATAAAAACTTTACTCTTAACAAAGATGAATCATTCCTGAGTATTCCTCCATGTAGAGTTATTTTTGCACAACACTGAAAACTATTTCTCAAATATCACTCAGTGTTTTGTAACAGCTGATATCCTTGTTGAGCCTTGTAACACCTGATATCCTGGTTGAGCTTTTAAATCTGTTTGGACATTGAAACAGTTGATATTCAGACTGAGCATTGCCACAGCTGATGTCCTACTTGATCATTGTAACTGCTGATATCCTAGTTGAACATTGAAACAGCTGATATTCTAGTCGAGCATTGTAACAGCTAATTTTAAGATTTGTAAAGCTGATATCCTGGTCCACTGCTACATCTTGTATATGTAGTTGGTGATATCCTTGTTAAAATATCTGATATTATATGTTAGGTATTTTATTAAGCACTGTAATACTCAATATCTTCTTAAGGCTTTGTAGCTAATATCCTCTTTGTTGTTTTGAACATATTTTATTGACAATGTGTCAAAGGGATTGGACACAAGTTCTAAAAACTTAGATAGTCCTCTCCCACAGCTGATATCCTCTTTGTTACAACTGTTATTCTGGTTTCATAACAGCTGATATCCTCATTGTTACAAATGTTATTCTGGTTTATCTTTGTAACATCTGATATCCTCTTTTTTACACCTGTTATTTCAGTTGTGCTTTGTAACAACTGATATCCTCTTTGTTACAACTGTTATTCTGGTTGAGCTTCATAACATCTTATATCCTCTTTGTTACACCTGTTATTGTGGTTGAGCTTTGTAACAGCTGATATCCTCTTTGTTACACCTGTTATTCTGGTTGTGCTTTGTAACAGCTGATATCCTCTTTGTTACAGCTGTTGTTCTGATTAAGTATGGTAACAGGTGATATTCTGTTTATAATTGTAACAGCTGATATCCTTGGTATACTTTGTAACATCTGATATCTGGTTAATTGCAGACAATCCTAATCAGACTTTGGACATTGAGAAGAGACAGTTAGACATTGAGGAGAGAGGGGTCAAAGTTCGCCTGTCAGTGGTTGATACCCCCGGCTTCAGTGATGCTTTAGATGGGGATGAAGCGTAAGCATTGTTTATACTTTATGTAGTTCCACAAGACATTAAATACTTGCTCTATTATTTAGGAGATTTGCCCTGTTATGACACACTAAGACATACTCTGTTTGATGTAGCATATCAAACTTTTTCCATAAACAAGTTAGTAAGTTCAAATTATCCCAAAAAGACAAAAACATTTTTCTACTGATATGACATTAACAGGTTTTCTTGATTTGAAAAACAGAATTAAAAAAATTAAATGAACTTTTGATTTCACAGATGGAAACCAATCATTGACTATGTTGACCGGCAGTTTGAGCAGTTTTACCAGGCAGAGAGTGGCGTCAACAGGAAAAACATCCAGGATAGTCGGGTACACTGCTGTCTGTATTTCATATCTCCATACGGACATGGGTAAGTTCACAAAATTAAAAACTTTCATCTTATCTTGACCATTTTGTTAATATTGCTTCCTCTGTTAAAATTTGCATGACCTTCCAAATAAATTGTACCCAAAGTTCTGTGATGTTATTGTTTTCCCAAACTGTAAAAAATTAAATTTTTTGTAACCTTTGCTATTTTTGAATCCCTGTATCATTAGGTTGAAGCCTTTAGATATATTTATGATGAAGAAGCTGCATCATAAAGTTAACATAATACCTCTCATCGCCAAGTCAGACACACTAACACCAAAGGAAAAAGCAAATATCAAGTCCAAGGTAACAATACAGGAATTTGTAAAAAGAATTAAATGACCATATCCTTTATCCTTTTTTTGCCCCTTGTCTTATTTTTTGTATGAAATACCTTATTTTTTTTCTGCTTGAAGATCTTGGAGCAAATAGAACAGAATGAGATTGACATTTATCAATTCCCAGAGTGCGATAGTGACGAAGATGATGAGTTCAAGGAGCAAGATAAGGCTCTGAAGGTTTGTCCTATTAAAGATTATAGGTCAAGGTCATTATGGAAAGTAGGTCAAATGAATATCAAATGCATAGGCCTACTAATTAGTGAATATATCCTTTCAGGCAGCCATACCATTTGCTGTTGTGGGTAGCAACACAGTAGTGGAGGTAGCAGGTAAAAAGGTCAGAGGTCGAATGTACCAGTGGGGAATCGTAGAAGGTCAGTCTCTTAGTCTTAGCAATCTGTTGGAAAATTTGTCCTTAACTGATGAAACTAGTTTTGTATGATATATCTGTATTCCTGCTTTCAGTGGACAATCCTGCCCATTGTGATTTTGTTAGACTACGACAAATGTTAATAAGGTAGAGTGCTCCTTCCTAAATGGCCATATTTTCACTTATTCTGTCTTCCTCAGTGACTGAGAGTTGATTGACAATTTGTTCAATGTTTTTAGCACCCACATGCAGGATTTAAAAGATATAACCTCAGACAAACATTATGAGAATTACCGAGCAGAACATTTAGCCTCTCAGATGAAACACTCCACTAGGGAAAGAACGTGAGTACTAGATCAGTGGTTAGGACAAAAGAGAGCTTATGATGGATAGATTTATAAAATATACCACAGTGTATAAGACAAATAACCACCTTCAAAATATCAAAATATATCTAGTTTTTATTGGGAGTTATTTTCTTGTTTTTTAAATCATTCAAGTCTGCAACAAGTGATTACTTGGTTAAATATCAAAAGTAACAGTTTGTAGCCTGTGTTAATTGGTTTTAATTTCACATTTTATAGGAAACTTAAGAGAGAATCTATGATAAACTTAGGACAGCTAGAGGACACAGACAATCTGATAGCACAGAAGGATGCAGAGGTCAGTAGGGGTTGTATTAGTCTTTGTAGAAATAAAACTACGAAATATAAACCTTATACATCAGCAGTAGCTTGTACCAGTTATGGCCTCCCTTTGTAAACTTACAGTCCTACTATGATAAATAAATCTTTTGCATCAGCTCAAGAAACAGATAATTAAGTGGTTTTTTTTTTTAATTTGCTCTGATGAGAGATAAAATCAAACTTTCTTTCATAATTTAAATGACTTTTTGGGTATAATTCTACCTCACCATAACAAATTAAAGTACATGTATAAAGAGTTTTATTGTCTCAATGTGTAGAGTTGCAATAGTGGTCACACTTTAAAGTATTTTCATAATTTTTTTTTTTTTTGAAAACTAAAGTGTGTACTTAAATAAAAATAAATATACGTATATTTATCAATATTTTTTCAATGCACTTCCATTTGATAAATTATTTTTAAAAAAATCAAAAAAAAAGGAAAAGAGCGCAAACTGGCTTCCTGATATAGAAAGATAGGTCTATATTAAGGGAGAGAGGGAAGTATTTTAGTGAAATCAATGGCGAGGAAAATAAGAGGCCTGAAATAAGGCAAACAAATTAAAATATCCTACAGAGAAAATACATATTTAACATATGCAGGTGCTTCTAAAACATTTATTATGCAGCTATATATGATTAACTATACATGTATTTTGTAGATACAACGAATGCAGGAGATGTTGGCTAAAATGCAGGCACAGCTACAGACAAACCCACGGACTGCTGTCAATGGTACTTAACATGCTACAGTGACTCAATAAAGTATATCAAAGAGGAATAGCTCCATTATTTATATGACAGTAATTTTTGTCCCTAACAACATTCAGTGGACTAAGAACAACATTGGAGCCACAAGCAAAGGGAAGTAATTCTGTGACATACAAAAAAAACATTCCAAATGCGTTTGTCATCCTTAAAATCATTATAAAGATATCTGTAGAAGGACTGATTTACTTTCCAATACGTATATTTTAATCTTCCTGGACAGCTAGTGGACCTGTGAAGTTGGGACTTGTTGGAATTTTGTGTATTGTAGAAACTGTGACAGTCCTGTATGTAAACCTGTAAAATATACACTGTATGTCAGGACATTCGTCTTCCTACTGTCATCTAATGTATATGTAATTCAAGATGTTTACATTAATAATTTACTTATTGGTAAATAAATATTTATATGACTTATAAAGCAATCCATTAATTTTTGAGTTGTCTCTGTCTATTCAAACTTGGTTTGTGAGCATGCCTGCAAAAGTAAGAGAAAAAGAAAGAAAGAGAGCAAGAGGGTAGGCTGGGAGGGTACCAGGGCAGTACCAGAGGAAGCCCACGCCCACCCATTCACACACACACATTTTTGTTGCAGTATGGTCAAACTCTTCCACAAAATTGTATTTAAAATAAAATTTTGGTCCAGACCCTCCTCTCCTGTAAAAGGATTTTCAAAAGTGTGGGCAGTTGTTTTTTTTCTTTTGTTTTTTTTTTTCTTTTTTCTTCTTCTTTTTTTTTTTTGGCTTGTCAAATATCCTCCCTCCCATTACAGGCCTTGAGAGAGAGAGAGAGAGAGAGATAAAAGATAAAAAAAATATAAATGTTTTGACAAATTTTAGTCAGGACACTTAATTGCAGTACATTCTTAGGTCTGTAGCAATGGTTTTAAAAGGGGAGGGGAGGGGCAACCTCCCCCCAAAAATCTTAAAAACCTAAACTGTCCAAATCCTGGAATTTGCCAGTGCCCAAACTTACTTCAAGAAAAAGTGTGTGTGGGAGAGGGGGGGGGGGGGGGCAAACAGCAACTAAATGAAAATTTACTTCAGCAGAATACTATACTCAGAAAAAAAGGGGGGCATTTTGCGGGCCTGCTTTTAAGTTGTCTCAATCAGTGTTATGTTACATGTGTCTTTATTTCTTTTACACATATAATATTATATGTTTGATGATATACACGTGTCAAGTCAAGAATTATTTACATCTAGAGAGGAATCTGTATATTGAACAGTAAAGGGGGGGGGGGGATGTTGACCTCAGTAAACCATTAACAATTAAAATCAAAGAGGATATCAAAAGATATATATGTTTAATTATAAATGGGATTTGGAGACAAAATAGGAAAGACATATCTATATCCAACATAACAAAGTGTGTATGTTTGTTTTTTTTAGGGGGGAGGGGATGTCATATTTTGTCAACATTTATTCATTGAAAAAAAATGAAATTTTCCCACTCCCACACCTTCCACTTGACTTTAACAGGATGGAGGCATATATTTTTGTTAAAGGCTTTTTTTCGAGATTTCTTTGAATTATGTATCATATCTGTCATTCTACATTGGGCAATGCGTCCTATTTCTTATCGTTTATATATTATTTTCTTTTCTAACATGTACTTATAATCATATAACACATGAAAGGTGGGTGACAAATGAAGTCATGAGCTAGTCCAATTACAGACAATGTGTATTAAAAGCAGATGAATATATGTGATCAAATCATTTGTTTCATTTATAATCACAAAAAAGTACTTTTAAAGGTGCATTAAAATAAAAACCGTATATAGATTTTATAGCGGTGAACTTTGCAACCTTTTGTGTTTATTCTGTAACAATTTGATATCTGTGCGTAGCTTGTGGACTAGTAATCATACAGAACAACACGGATTTATAAGAGATGTGGAAGGAAAAATTTACAAATTATCATAGAAAATCGAAACTAATTAAGTTTTAAGTATTCAATGTTAACACACTTTTTGCCAAAACAATACTGGGAGGAATAGTCAATACTAAATAGAAATAAGCTTCACAAAGACAGATGCTGATTAAGTACATGAATGAAAATGACATACCAATTAATATAGATAATAAATATAGATATAGATGATATATTATATCGTGTTGATTCATTACGTCTGGATAACAACATTTCATTTTTTAGTCATGTACATATCTTTATAAGAAACTCAAACAGTTTTTCATTGAAATTTTAGTTTATTATGATATGCTATGAAAAATATTATATTATTTTATGCATGCCTTTTTGTGAGGTAATTCTTCCCACTCTGAGTCAACAACACTTGTTTAAACATATTATGTTTTGCTTTTTTTCTCTCCACGTGTTATTTCTATTTTGTTTTTAAATACTCTCTCTCTCTCTCTGGATTCATTTTAGGTATGTTCCAATTCATCCAATTGATAATCTACTCTTCATACATTCTTTTCAATGGTTAAATTTACCTGTACGTTGACCTATGGAGAGAACGATTATAGGCATTTATGTGGCTGTTCAATCCATTTCATTGATCTGAATAAAATAATAAAATATATTTTAAACTAAATACTACATTGATTTAAAACAAATGAATGTGATGAGGCAGAATACTGAATAATATTTCTCGCCCCACCCCAGATAGAACAATTTTCTAAATTTAACAATTTTGCAAATGGGCGAATTCAAATATATGTCATCAGAAGTAACCATTTCCCAGTATGTGGCATGTCACATTCTAGAGTAGCAAGCTCTTGCAAAGCCCAGCTGTCTGCCAGCCCTAGACAAACTAGAGTTATCCCTCTTTGCACGCTCTAAAACAATCTGTTATAAGATAAATCAACAATCCTCTCTCTCTGTGTGTGTTTTAATAACTTTTGAGATACATTTTAAAAAATTTAGAAAAGTCATCAATTTAAAGTATTTATTCCATGATTGCCATTGGAATCTCGTCAAAATTTTGTTAAATTTTATCTTGCAAACATACAGACAAACAGATGGCTAGTTGGGCAGCTAGATAGACTGTTTAACATTGGTAAAAAAAATTCCTTCAAACTTTGTTGGCTGAGGTGGCATGGTCCTTCTACCAAAATGAATGTTACATCTATAAAGTATAATGATTACGGTGTAAATCAAGCACTCTACATTATCATCCTTTGAAGAAGGCACGGGTAGCTATTGGTCCTATATTAAACCACGCACTTTACTGATTTTAATGTCAGTCCGTCCTCAGTTTCCTCACAAAAATTGAGGTACATTACCAGGCATTTGTGTAAGATTTCACAGTATGGTATTTCTTACATAATCATATAGGTAATCCCTTGAATTGCTGATATCACTTATTTTTTGTTTATATGTATATTTTTAGGCATTTTGAAGATAGTTTAGAAATCAGAATATAATGATAATTTTAAGTATTTTTGATATATTACAAAGAAAATCTAGGAACTTGTCAGATCTGAAAAAAATGTGATAAATATAGAATTTTTATGATTGCTTAAAATTACTGGGACACACCTTTTAAACTCTGACCACATGTACTGTCATGCAGCCAACAGCGAATTCACTGTAACTCTGTAAGCACATATTAGAAATAACACGATTTCAGCCACTTTGTCCGTGATCTAATGAACGTTTGACCATGAGGGCCCTCTATGCTTATAGTCAAATCTATAACCTATCTCTGTAGCTGCAGACTGCTCGAGTGGTTTAATTAACAGTTCTGTTGTTTCCGACACAGTCTGCAACTACCTAAAAACACACCCAAAAAGCCAACGAGATATCTTTATTATTTTAAAATTACCAAGACACAAACTAAAGTTACCAAAAACACTAGCCACTAGATCCCTGAGCTGAGTGGTCTAACTAACAATTCTGTTGTTTTCCGACAGAGGCCAAGAACCTAGACCGAGAAGTGTTACTCAAGCATTGAGTAAGTGTTACTCAAGCATTGAGTAACAAACAAGTAAGCCTGAACTAGACAGGGTGTCTATATTTATACCTTTTATCCAAGTCTAATTACTGCTGATTGGTTAATAATTGGAAAAAATCTGATTGGCTGAATTATAAACATTGATTGGCTAAATCTGCAATGATTCGATTGGACCATTTTAGGCGCATCATAATCCACTATGATTATTTATTACAAATACATTACCCACCCCTTCGAAAAAATATGTGTCCTCGCAGAGGTAAATAATAATTCTAATAAGGATAAAAATATTGATATTTATTAGCCTTGGAAGATTTCTCCTACCAATTTAAAGTTTTGGATATATTTACATATATATTTAATGTAGAAATATTCAACACTGTTTTTAGTGATTTTCCTCACAGTCGGATTATCTCTGATATATTCTACAATCTTCTTACTTGTTTTAACATGTTTGGGAAACTCAGTCTGAACACTTGCATCGCAAGTGCTGGGCAGTTGAGGTGTTTTAGTTGTGAGAGTTTCTTCACGTGATGGCTGATTTTCATCAAGTTTGTTGTCGTCCGGGACTTCTCAACCCGCTTATCAACTTTTCCCAAGGCAATAATTGGGTAAAAATACCACAAACTCAGAACTCTTTAGTGTGCAGTGTATAGAGGGCCCTTAAGCGAAATCTGAACACAACCTTGGGTCACATTGAATTACTTGTTTGAATTACATTAATTGCAATAAAGGATCGATGCATAGAATTGCACCGGACAGGTCTAACATTGATTTTGACCTTTGAGATAAAACCTTTTCCATGCCTTTCCGTCATGGGCAACAGCATGCTGTCTTTGTATTCATTCAAATTAAGGTCTCCAATTTTATAGACCGAATACGAAAATCAACATCTCATTGCCCATTGAACTTGAATAACCTTTAACAAGAATGAGTCAAAATTAAGACGAAAGTGCGCAGTTCTGCATTATACCGAAAATTATACTGCATTGCCAAAAATGATATCATTACCGAAAACTTACTTAGTTAATTTCCGAAACAAGGTATAGCATTTCCGAAATTAATACTTTAAATTTACCTCATCTTTAAACTTTGCTGACATTGCAACACAATATGGAGGGTATCTGACTTTTGTAAGTTCGGTCAATATTGAAACATAAAGTATGAACTCTACATTTACATATCCTCATTAAAACAGAAAAATACGTGAATACAATGATCAAATAACTAACTATTATAAAGCACAAATCTTTTTTCTGTGTGTGATGTATAGATTGTAAATTTTGCATTTACCTCCACCTAGTAAATTCAAAATTTACAACATGATACTATGATATAAGTTACATCTAGATGTAAAACAATCCAGACAAACGATAAACTGTATATATGTCACTGTGTTAGTAGTTCTCCCGATTAATTCGGCCTAATTATGTTACAGTGTATTTGCAACACTGACGTAAAACGTGAAGATATCATTGCACTAGTATTCGTAAGGTGTAGATCA